GATTTCTGCAAGAGCCAGGTCATGACTGGCTTCCTGAAGATCATCTCTGTTTTAATGAGGATTGATTAGCTGCCTCCAGACATGCACTCTCACTCGCTCTCGCTCCCTCTTTCCACTTCATCATGCTTTAGCGCTGATAACATCATCAAAGCCTTGTTATCCTGACCAACTCTTTGATTCTCTCTTCTTTGCCCAAGGCCAGGTCCCCTCCTCAGTGGTAATTGGTATTAAATACATTGACGTGCCTGCTGTGATCTGTGTGAGGTCAGGATGACCTATAAGTAAATGAGACGCTACATGGAGAGACGTGAAGTTTTAGGATTTTCTCCTAAACCATGCTAGCAAATCAGGTCATCCGCATGCCTAACAGGACACTAATGGGCCATAAAGGCTTAGTCATGGCTTGGGTACTTACCACTTGTGGCAGGGAATTGTGTAGCTGTGTGACACTGGCGGAGACAGCTTTCTCTCCAGGGGTTAGAGTACCATAAGCCCAGATATACTACAGTCCCCTAATAGAGAATGTAACCTGCTATGACAAAAACTGATTCTCCCTGCTCTCCTGATTTCCAAAGTGTGGTGCAGCATCTGCTGGTTACAAAAAGTATTGCTTTTGGCAACAATTTTAATACCGAGGGAGGCAGGAGGTGAGGCTGTCTGAGGCTGACAGAAAATACAGGGAAAGACGTGACATCTTCTGTTTCATTAAAACAAGAAAACCTCATATATCTGAAACAGAAACCTTACTTGGAGAAGAAACAAAGGGTCCTAACATCTGTTAAAGGTTTATGTGCCAAAAACAGTACATTTTTGTCATTTTACAGTCATTTTTATATTTGCCCATTTCTCCAACCTTTCATTTTACCTTAGACTGATGTTCCTAAGCACTGTTTTGAAATGGTCCCGTGTATTGGGCCTCCTTCAAAAAGCAGTCCAGGTTGAAACACTCCTTATAACATCACAGGGAATGGGCGGGGCTAAACTGCTATAGGCTTAATAGGTGGATATGTGTAAATGTGTCTTTTGTAACATCACAAAAACAATGAGTGTGTTTACATGCACTTAATAATCAGATTACTGTGGAAAATCAGATTGTGTCAGTAATCCGATCAATGCGTTTACATGCACTTGGGTATTCAGATATTGGGAAACTCGGGGTTTACGAGTCAGGCAGTAATCGGACTTCCGTTTTGCAACCAGCCAATAAACTCACAGAAGACGTGACGTAAACATAATGAAAAACTCATCTTCATGCAGCTTTTTTTTAAACATTGCGCCACTTTACCTAAAAATATGAATATACACTATCTAGAAGATGAAGAATATTTAAATGCTTCATTTCGTCAAGCATGTAGTTGGTTTCACCAACTCGCTCCAAAAGTGTTTTGCTGCCATCTGGCAGCAACACTGCTCACTTATTTCTGGTACCCACCATTGGCTATGTGCAGACTGAGAATTCCGAAAGAAATCAGAGTACGAGTACACATGCACTGAGAAATCTGATGACTGAGATAAAATCCAGCTCTCTTTATCAGATTTCTTAATCGGATTTCTAGACTCTGATCTAAGAAATCAGACTATGCTGTTTACGTGACCATTTGAATAATCAGATAACTGCAAAAATCCGATTATGATTGGAGTATTGAGTGCATGTAAACACACTCAGTGAAAACACTTCAAAATATGAACTACATGCACTAAGAATAAACATTTTGAAATGTTTAATGTTTACAGACAACAATTGGTTATCATTTTATAAAAGTGAGAAAAATTAAGTTTGGGCCCTTTTATGTAATCTAACTTAAAAGGATTTTTTTTCCCAAACTTTCCATTGGTCTGTTCATCATGAAATTCTGAATCACAGATTCAGACATTGCAAGCGGCAGCTGCCGTTTTAAAACAGTGTACAAGAGAAAATAGATCAACCCCTTTTGAGTCCATGTTGAAAATGCAATAATACTGGTCTTTTTTTAAAAAAAGGTCCTCGATTAGTGGACTGAAGGACAGTCTGAAATGCAGGATAACTAATCAATCTCTGACAAGCAATCACCGCTGAAAGATAAGCTGGTTTTGAAAAGGCACATTGAAATATATTGTAATTTCATTTACTATTCACAGTCTTAGTAAACGTCTACTCTAGCTGCCAGAATAATTCAGCAATTCCAGCTATTCCTCATTCACGGTAGCAGAATTTATGGGTCAGTAATACTGCGTCCAGTTCCTCTGTGGCTACAGTGACAGAAAGCAGGAGACAATAAAATGAACACAAACACACTCTCGCATCAGTTACTCAGCAGCAAGACTTTATTACATGCAGTTACACACTCTGTCATTGCACTAGCAGCACTACGGCGAGTCAACAAGAGCTTGACAGCCACTTTAGAAACACAACTGACCTCAAAAAAATGGAGTCCACTTTTTACGCAAAGAGTCGACGGCCACATTCACGAGCATATATTTTACACATCGGTGGTTACTCTCTCAGCCCGCTGCCCGCAAGCAGGATGGAGCCAGAGAGGAGAGAGGCTTCTCTGTCTCATACTCATGCATCTCATTAGACACCATGCTCATCAGAGGAACCCAAGCTACACAGGAGCAATACCTGAGTGATAGAGAACGGTTACAATCGTGTACAGAAAAAACACCCATTCCAGTGGATAACAGACAAGAGCTTAGCAGAAAAAAACAGAACCTTGATTCTTTTCACTTACAATTTGCCACGCTTTTGCTCAGTTTTGTACAGAAGTCTGTTTCCGCCATTTAGTGAGCCATAATTATGAGACATTTTATCTCAATGACAAGATGCTGCAAGAACTATGGTACTATAATTGTTCATAGTCTATCTCAACGATGACTCATTAAGACTCATGATCTCATATTTATGACTTGCTATCTCATTAAGATAGTAGTTAGAATAATGAGATATCAAGTCATGAGGTAGTGTCTCATTATTATGTCATTGAGATACTATCCCATATTTATGACATTATTTTTCATACTGAGATATTATGAGTGTCTCATATTTGACATGATGCTGTAATAGTGTTTTATAATTATATCTATAATAATGAGATACTATCTCATATTAATGACTTGCTATCTCATTTTTCCATCTGCTGTGTCATGGTATTGAGATATTACAAGTATCTCATATTTATGACGATACTGTAAAAACAATTGTTTTATTATCTCAGGAAAATGAGAAGGTTTCACAATTAATGAGATAGTATCTCATGATTGTAAGACAATCTCATATTTATGCCTATCTTTCATACTGAGATATTTTGAGTGTCTCATATTTGACATGATGCTGTAATAGTATAATTTTATCTATAATAATGAGATACTTTCTCATATTTATGACATTTTTCATACTGAGATATTATGAGTGTCTCATTTGACATGATGCTGTAACAGTAGTTTAGAATTATATCTATAAGATACTATCTCATATTTATGACATGCTAGCTCACTATACTAATTGCTATCTCATGATATTGAGATATTACAAGTATCTCATATTTATGATAATACTGTAAAAGCATATCAGAATTATGTCGTATTATCTCAGGAAAATGAGAAAGCTTCACAATTAATGAGATTGTCTTAATTATGTGATACTATCTCATAATTATGACTTTATATTTTGCCTGAATCATGACTTCATTATGAGATACTATCTCATAATTATGACTTTGTATATCATAATTATGACTCAAAAATGAGTATCTCATCTCTATGACTAACTTGGTCATTATTGTACCTATCTCATAATTTTGAAATCCTATCTCAGTGATGAATTTTGATTTACTAAATGGTTAAAGTGGAAACAGGCTTCCCAGTTTTGAGACTAAATAAAACAACGAGAAACTTCATTGAGCCATAGATTCACTGACCTCATAAACACACTAGTAAACAACAAATGAGAGATAAACCTCAAGTGGCATTAAAAAATGTAACAGTTCGTTGGAGAAGTTCAGCTGGGTCAGGCACTTAAGACTGGAGAGCACTTTGACCTACAGAAAGTGCCATCTCAGCAATAATTTGACATCTTTTTAAATCCTCAAAGACAATCAAATACGCTGCATGTTAAATACAATATTTCAACTACGCTGCCTTTGACAATGATAGTATTAATCAAATTGATCGATCTTCCAGTGCCTTAGTGAGAAAACCAAGAAATGCCATCACACCGCAGAAAGTGGATGATCGTCAACAGTCTTATTCGCAGCAGATGAGATTCGCTTTTACTCGTCATGGCAAGCAGCAATCACGAAGTTCACAAAATAAATATTTACATAATTACCTCTGAGACAAACACAGACAGATTGACATTTGTTCCAGCCTGCTTCCCTCCACAACGCAGGACATTAACACACGCTAACATGCTTCAACATCACTGTGGACGTCACTGACTGGATGTGCCATCAGAAAGAAAAAAAAAAAAAACACTGGAGCAGTTCTTTTTTCACGTCCAACACAGTAGCTGTCACGGTCATTGACTTGTTTGCATATAACCTTCGCTATGAATAATTTACCATCAAATTATCACCCGATTTAATGTTCTAGAGTGTCAGGATAAACCTCAAGCAGAATTAGTGCCTAGTGACAGCATTTAATGAGACTCCAAATGGGGTAGATTGCCTCTCATAGAAGGTATCGCAGCACTGTAGCATTTCAGGAATAATTAGGCAGTGATCTGAAATGAAAGGTTTGGTGTTTTTGTTCCAAAAGAAGAAGCAAAGAAAAAGAAAAGAAACAGTAAAGTGCAAGACCCGAGCTGTTGTATCTATTTCTTTGCCATCAATTGCATTTTTGGGAGGCTAAGGTAAACAAAAGGTAAATCTGCATGGAGGTTTAGTGCACATCAAATCAAAACAGACATGTAATGTCAGCATTCTGAAGCTTTACAGCAAAATATCCCCTCAAAAAAAAAACAAAAAAACAAAAAAAAACAAAATCAGCATTAGCATAGTTTACACATTGGGCTCTATATACCGTCAGACACTGTTGGGGTGGTAGCACAGCATGTTGAGCTGCAGGTTCTCATCCCAATGTCTGAGGATGATGAAGAGTTGGTTGGCGGCGGCCTTCACTGCTGCCAGGTCTCGGCCCTCGGGGACCGTCTGCCGGTCCAGCCACAGGCTGGCTTTGGCCGCAATTAGCTCCCATTCGATGAAGTAGCTGGCCGAGTTGTTCTCCAGCCAGGCTAAAGCCACGGCCGTGGCCCACACCATGCTCTCCAGTTCCTGGGTCACCATCCGCAGGCCTCCGGGCGAGATGGGCTGGGGAGTGTCCACGTTTTCCGACTCTGAGCCACGCCCACTGTCAGCCTGGGAGTTATTGGGTGAAAGAGGTGGATCAGTTGATAAGGAGGAGGAGGGGCCGCCCAAAAGCGAAGAGCCGCTTTCGGTTCGAGGGCTGCGGGCCAGGTTGGGAGAATTTGGGCTATGAGGTGCTGCCTCCTCCGATTCGGAGCTGAGGTCAGGGTCTTTAGGTGGGGGAGAGCAGCTGTGGTGGACCTCCAGGCTGTCGGTTCTCTTGCTGCTGCTGGAGTGGTGGGACAGGTGGGTGAGGCTGACCCTGTGGCTGGTGAAAGGGGACGTCCACTTCAGCTTGTCCATGGGCACGTTGATGGCCTCGCATAAAGCGCCATCCAGCATGAATGCACCACACGACAGCTGCAAAGACACCTGGAAAACAGCCAGGGAAGTATCCATATTTTAAAAGCTAATTCAATCCAGATGGAGGAAATAAAAATAAAACATCCATATATTAGGAGCTAATTCAATTCAAAAGCCAAAATCTGAAGCTTTGCAAAGATATCTTCGAAAAAGTAATATCTGGGCTTTTGTTCCCTGTGGAATGTCTATTCAGAAATACTGATCTGAGATCAGATTACTCTATTCTGTATGCTGATTTGATTTGTTTTATGCTAAAACTGTATAAACACATTTGGAAGCCAAAACCAGGCTGATACCTTTGAGATACTGCTTTCTGGGACTTTTTCATTTTGCATGTCTATGTAGAGATATTGGTTTAGGACGAGCTTACTCTATTTGTATGCTGATTTAATTCATTGTATGCTAAGACAGTAAGAAAAATGATTTGGAAGTGAAAATTCAAAGACAGATCCCTTTGAGAAACTGGTTCTCTGGACTTTTTTTATCAGCAGAGTCTACTGACGAAAGATCAGATTTCTCCACTGGGTTAGCTTATTTAATTCACAGTGCAGAATAAACTGATTTGGAAACAGCACAGTGCAGTTAGGAATGTCAGTAGTAAAGGCACTCTGAATATATGAGCTCTGTAAACTGTCAAGTAACTTGCTGATTTCTATGACCTTTTCTTAAACAGTCTTATTGATCCTGCTATGCCTTGCTATCAATTACAAAGGAGGATATCCTCAAAAGAACTGCATTAAACTGATCTCGCAATCAATGAGTTACACAGTAAACACTAAAAAGACATCTATTTAATTAGGTTTAGGATATCAAACATAGCCTGTTTAATGTCACAAGACCTATTATTTCCTAATTGAGTAACAAGACCAGGCCTGCTACTGGATGCTGGCGGGCTATTTAGAAGCTATGAAACAGCTGGCTCTTATAGATATGACTGTACATGAAAGCTCACTATGAGCTTTCATCACTCATCTATCTAAAGCTCATGGCTTTTAATTTAGCTGTAATATGCAAATCAATTACCAATTTTAGACTGTTCATGGAGACCATGGTTAGATGCTGATCTAAGCCCAGGTTTTTATGCTTTCTGCACTATGATGAAATTATAATGATATGTATATTAAGGACCAATTCATTGATTTTGCTGGTAGGTAAGCTAATCAGTGACTGATCTATTTAAATCTTCTCACTTCTCTTCAATTTCCAGTCATAAAGTTATTCATCAGAAAGTCTAAATGATATTCATATTTCAGCATCACCCCAAAAAATCAGGAAACATATATTTAACACAGAGGCCTCAACAATTTTGCCTTCATTACAGCTTCCCTCCTTTTAGGAGACTCGCTTACAGTTTTTCAAAGAAATCCACAGGAATTCCACCAAAGTTCGGTCTTAGAAGTTGGTTACATTTTCTGCTTCTAACAATCCAAGTAATCCCAAAAACATTCAATGATGTTTAGGTTTGGCATCTTTGGTTTATTGGCAATGCTGCTGCTTTGTTTTTAACTATTTTCTTTTCTCAGTAGCGGCTTCTTGACAGCTACACATCCTTTCAGATCTGAATCAAGAGTGGAGCTTGATTTTCTCCTCTCTCTCAAAGATGAAAGCTTTAAGTACTGTTTATCTGATGGGTACAGTTTTGGTGGTCTAAGACAGTGTTTCTCAACCTGTAGGCTGCAGACCACCAGTGAGCCATGCACCCTCTGGTGGTCCGTGGGCCTGTACTCAGGGGGAGGCAATAGTTTGTGCTGGCAACGTGATTTTGTAACAAAAACATAAGTGGAAAAAGGACTAACTGAAAAATCAAGGAATCAAACATTGTCAAATTATAACCAATATAAATACTAATACTTATGTACAAATAAAATGTTGCAGAGGACTAGGTAAGATAAACAAAATTGATGATCTGATCTTTTTCAGTCTGTAGTTATAAGCTGTGCTCTGTAGTTATAAACAGGTGGGCCTTGGGGTGGAAAAGGTTGAGAACCCTTGGTTTAAGAGGTCTTACATGGTTGCTCAAGTCCCATTTTCTTTCTTTCTGAACTCCAGTTTTGGAATCTCCTGTTATTCTCACTTATTTTCCTTTCCACTTTTTCACTTTCCTAATGCAAGAATGTTATCCTATATCTAATCTCCTCTTGAAAAATAAATAACTTAATGAAATAAATAAATTAAATGAAAGGTGGCTTCTGAATTTCAGACATTACTGTATGTCACCAAATGAATGAAAGGGTACAAACCAGAGGGATGTAGTCTCTGTTGTCATTTTCACTCTCTCCAACAGAGTCGCTGGTTTTGCTCTGAGCTCGGCACATGAACCCTCTGGCTGCCTTGGTCAGGAGACGTGTTCTAGTCAGGCTCAACCTGAGAGAGTAGATTGACACAATGTAGCCAAACAATACCAATGCCAACCTTTTCTCCTCAGCATGAAGCTTTGCATGCACAGTCATTTGATTTTATTTCCATACAATGGGAACCATGGGAATAGGAACCGAGAATGTTCTGAAAGGGGTACAGCTTTTTTTAGAACCTCATCGACTTAGCTTGTGACGGACTGACTGACCGACTGACAGGATATGGCTGTTTGCCCAAATAGTACTCCAGTATGGGGTGGAGGAGGTGGGGGGTTCTCTTTATCCTATAAGTTTGTCTCAGTGGAGCATCAGTTACCCTAAATCAAGCGTGTACTGTCATTCATCTAAGTTAGCATTAGCACCACAACCAATTCCAACCCTATCCTAGTTAGCATTGTATAACATTCAGCTAATATTATTAGATTGATGTTTTAATGTTTATTAAGGGATGAATTGAAAATGTGTTTTTTTTTGCCATGTTTATATTGAAAATCAAGCTCGGAATGTGAAATACTGTCAATTTTAAGATTTTGAGATGTCATATTACTGTTCTGCTGGTCAGTCTTACTAACTGACTGACTAATTCGCTCACGTTTAGCAGACTGAAGATTCTCCACAAGGGGGAGCTATTAGCATTCAAGCTGGTTTTAAGTGCATCTTTGAAAGGGAGGAAACTGCCATTAGCCCAATACACATCAGCAGGATCTCACAAATGCTTGTGTTTGCAGTCACAAACTTCATGTATGTGAAATAAAAGCCCCAAGCTAGAACCTACATATACAAACACTATGTACAAATCCTGCGCATGTAGTATGACGACAGCTGTTTACTGATATGGTAATCAATCACTAGATCAGAGTAACGGTACTTCAGCTGGGTTATGGAGATGACCCAGACTTCAGCTAAAGAAGTGCCTCTTCACTTGAAACATCATTGCCCAGACTGAAACAAACCTTATGGGTTCCAGACAAAAGGCCATCAAGAAAGCTATTAAAAATGCTTCACCAGTGGAGGAGTAATACCCTTTTACTATTCATTAGAAAACCTCTCTTCTGCTGTAATCTGCCATATGACTGCTTTAAGCAGCCTCCAATCAATAAGACTCCTTATAGAAACTTTCTACAGGGATCTCTAGCAGCAACACACCACAGACAAGGTCAGAACAATCAATAAACACTTACAACCACCTGATCTGACGGGCAAAACCATGACCTTATGCATCATGAGCAAAGACCAAACAATAAACAGCAAATGTCCAGGGTATCATTTCTAGCATTTGAATGATTTATAAAAAATTAAATTCATTCTCAATTTGCTCTTATAGAAAGTGGTCAGAATTAAGAATGGTTTATATAAAAGTATTATAACAGAGTAACTTGTAAAGACCAGGCACTGCCATTTAATATCTGTCAAAAAGATTTCATACTTTTCAATCACTTTCCAAAAATATTTCCCAGAATTTGCCTTAAGACAAGTTTTAATTTTGATTTTCTCTGACACTGACTTGATTGACAGCCTTTTTGTGAAGTGTAACAGTCCAGTAGATCACTAAAAGGCTAACAGGCTCCTCCAATAATATTCAGGGATAGATTTTACTAAGGGATTCACTGATAACTGCTTAGAAGTGCTTGCGCCATAAGCATTATGTTAGCAGTAGTAATCAGATAAACAAAAGACACTTACAATATGAAACTGCACATCTGTTGCATGTTCATGATTATATGACAAGATTAATTATTGTTGGTAGGTTGCAGGTTGTGCTAGGTTCTGTATGGAAATGAACACAGGCAAAAGGATAAGAAAAAAAAGGACCAACACAGATATTTGAGCCATATTAGTTTGGTCCCATTGTTTTGAATGTACTTCCACTTGCACCCTAAAACTGAGCATTTGTAAACTCTAACTTACAAAGTCAAGTTTAAAAAAAAAGCAGCTGATTTCATAGTTCATAAATATGCAAAATAAGGACTGTGATTCGCTACAGTCGATTAGATGATGGCAAATTACCGTAATTGAAAAAGGTGGTTGGGAGCAGTGTGAAAGTACTTTAAACCCTTACAGAAAAAAACATAAGATTTTTATGTGATCATGTGAAAGTGAACATGAGAAAAAAAAGGTTTGATCACTTGTGAACATGTGCTTTTTTATACTTCACATGTGAAATATATGTGACATTTCTGTAAGGAAACTTTCAAAGGCCATTTATGCACACCATACAGTCTCATCTAAAAGAAATGGCAAGGTAGATAATGAGGCTTTTGTTTTTGCTGTACACTAAAGACATTTGGGTTTGAGATCAAAAGATGATTATGAGACGATAGATTAGGATTTCAGTTTTTATTACCTGATATATCCCAGTTTTTAAGTGAGTAAAAATACTGGAATAACAGGTGTGGAGATTGTTAGATTGATTATTTAAACAATGAATAGCTCTGAATATCTACCCTTGGTTTGAGCCCTGGGTTTTACCTTTGAAGACTGCATCAATCAATCAATCAGTCAGAAAATCAATGAGAAAATCAATCAGAGCAATTGCAGAAGCGTTGGGCATAGACAATACAACAATGTGTAATGGTCTGAAAGAGAAAGAAATCAAACCACACATCAAACACCTCGACCAAGGAAAACAACAGGCTGCTTCTGGAACGGGCTCACTAATCTTTATTGATGATGTAACTCATCAATAGTACGGTAGCAGCAAAACAAATTTAGAGATCTACAGGAAAATTATATCTGCCAATTTACAGAGAAATGCATCCAATCTAATCAGGAGAAGATCAAATTCATCTCTTTTGGATCCAACTGTTTTTATAAGGAAGCCCCAGGATGTCTCATGTTCTAGCATGAAGGTAAAACTATCTGCATCTACATATCCCAGACTGAGAGATTTAATATCTAGGGGCCTTTGAGAAAACCCTTCTCAAAAGCAATAACGTCTTCATATTAGTCCTATATCTACAAGCAGAATCATCTAAACAGCCTTCATATGTTCTTTAATGCATTTAATATGTGCAACAGTTCATTCTCTTTCCATGCTGGACTCGTTTCATATAAGCAACAGCCTGACAAGCAATCAACATGCAAATGCAACTATTAAAAAACTATATTTAGTTACAGTGCAATGATACACTGCAGAATAACTGATCTGAGCTCAGTGTACGTCAGAGTTCGTCTAGGGTCAGCTTTTGTTCTGCTGTTTTCTGTTGTATCCCTTTTTGCATATTGCAAGGTAAACATTAGAGCAATAAAAAGACACCAACAAATCACTTCAGATTGGAAGATGAAAACATTTTCTGTAGACACTCTGGGAGAATTCTCACCTGTAAGAGTACAGGCATCTTAGCCATTAGAATCCAGTTTCTGGTTTGAGGAGCAGAGTGCTGAGGCTCTTATTGAGTGGTTTTCAGCAACTTTTCCTCTTTTTTCTTTACAAAATGAGTGACACTTACAACTGTGTGAAGTGGAAGAGATAAAGAGTAACAGGACTGACAGTCTGTCACTCTGACAGTCTCTCTCTCTTTTCATTTTCAACCTTTCTTCCTTTTTGTGGATTTCTCTCTGTATACTTGTAGTTCTCCCTGCTTCTATCTTCCAGTGCATACATCCACTTCAAATTTATGTCTTTTGACGATGCACTTGAAATATGAATGAAAAAGTATGTACATGTAAGCGTACATGTTTAAAAAACTAAATAGGAAAAAAAGTATTCCAAATTATGAACATTACTTTGTTGCAAAGCTGTTTTTGGCAATTACAGAGATGTTTAGGTGAATTTGAGATGTTTACTGTAAGAAGGAATTAGCTCTTTGAAGCGCTGTCATTTTATTTTGGCCTGCTCTTCCTGCCAAACCATCTTGATCATCATGAGGGTTCCTCTGATGGACTCCCAATTTCAAAATACTCCATAAATTTTCACTGGGATTCAAGTCAGGGGACTGGCTAGACCATGCAAGCACCTTCACTCTTTTTAGAAACTAGTCTTGTTATTTTGGTTTTATGTTTGGGGTCATTGTCCTCCCCTAATATCTCATTCTTCAATGCTGTGTAATGCCCTTAAAACCAATATGTGTTGCTGTCATCTAAGTAAGCTGTTGGACCAGCTACCAAAACAGCTTCAATGTGCCTGGGCATGGATTCTACAAGTCTCATTTACTGTACTGGAGGGATCTTCTAAAAGATATTCCCTCAATTAGTGTTCTGTTGATTCACTGTCACTGTCATTCATGTCAGTCCAAACTCTGTCACAGTTGTTCAAATGGGTTGCAATCTTGTGACTGCCAAGAACATAGCATATGATATACATCATTTTCAGACTCATCAAACCATTCAGTGACGTCTCAGTGCCCTGTGGATGGGGTCAGAGTCATCCTGGAATAGACTACTTCTCTCAGGATAGATATGTTAAAGATGATGAGCCATAATAACAATTTGTATTGATTTGCTCTGACTCTTCCCTCTAAGCAGACAAGACTCAAACTATGCCAGCAAAATGACCCCCACATGGACATTCAGTGGCCTGAGGAACAGTTGCTCTTCTGTTTTTCCTTACATATCACACTTATGCACAAGCATCACAGTCACTGAATGTGTGCTTTCGGCCACAATGTTCAACACTTTTACTGACTGATGTCACTGCTCCTAGTGAAACATTAGCCAGTTGAGCAGTCTTTGTGACTGAAGCTCCTGCCATTTGTTCCTTAATAATGAACCCTCTTCCAAAGTCAAATAAGCTGCGTCCAAAACAGCATACTACCATACTAAGTAATATATGTATCTCCAAAATGACAAAGGAAAAAACTGTACTTTTAGTGTAAGTCAATGGAACCAGACTTCTTTCCAAGTAATTCTGAGCCGTTTGTTTTGGTCCATTCGTCATGAAATTGAAACACAATGTAAAGTGCAGAAGGCACTTTTAAATCATGTCAAAAACTGAAAAACAACAAAGATGGAAATATGAGGTTTTGTTCCGACAGCTGCGATATCCAAAGGGTACCACCAATAGCAGCACATTTAGGGGTGTAGTGGTAGGATGTGGTTTTAGACACAGTCTTAGATCTTTCCTCTTAGCATCTTGATCCAAAACTACGGTCAGCTGGGCCTGCTCAGCATTTTTATACACACCAGAGCATGGTAGGATGTAATCACTTGACTGTATGTCCAAAAGAAGCTCCCATTGTTATATTTATCCACTCATCTATTCATATTTTTCCTTTGTCTCTTGTCTGTATCTCCTTGGTTGTCTCTCTCTCTCTCTCTCTCTCGCCCTTTCTCTTTCGTCCTTCTATTTCTCTCTTTCTTTTTCCTCCTTCATTTTCTTCACTCCTTGCTCTCCTTTCTCGCCATCTCTCGTGTTTTCTTTAGCTGTATTTGAAAAGCTAGGTTGCAGCTGAAAAAGAAGGGTCCTCTGTAGCACCGTCTTCTGAAGGTTCCTTGTTTGTATTACATAATACAAAATGGATTGTTTACTACTCCCACTTCATTGGAAAAGAGAAAGTATTTAATGGAGAAAATACTGCTGATGTGAATGATAATAACGTGGCAGGCAAAGCATTAATTTGTTTGTAATTAAGTGTTATGCTGCAAACTAAAACTGCTCAACTCACAAGCAGGTGCATTCAATTTACAGCCTGTTAAACAAGAGAGCAATAACGTCACTGAATAACCACATCAAACTTAGATACAGCACTTTCTTTATCACAATGGTGTAGTTGATGGTAAAGACAGAATATCACTGACCCTCACCCACAGACGAAACAATTTGTCTAGCGATTTGTATGCTTACTTGCAATGTGGATTCTGGTGCAGTATTTACAAGGTAATTATAGATGTTTGGATGTTATCAAGGGCGATACTGCATAATCAGGACTCAAAGATATCGATCAGGTACGGATCAACACCTCTGATCAAACTGACTTTTCTTGATATATTGATTTGCCATAGCCGGCATTGACTGCTCACACAAATTATGCGGATGGAATGTCAACAACATGGCCATGGGATGCCTTTTCCTGTTTTTTTGCAAATGCTCTCTAGTGACTAGTTGCATGAGATGACTGCATACACTTCTCATATAAGCAGTGTGTGCATAACATCATCTGCCAGTGTCTCAGCTGGTGACTTTCTACATGAGAATTTAGCAGAATCTGACCACGATCAATGATGTATTTCTCATCATTCAGACATTCTGATCAATACCGATAAGTAAAAGAAAAAATATTTTACTGTCAAATATACGTTCACTGGTGATGCTGCATCATTTTTATGCATGGCAGCACCATCTGCAGCTTCTCTCTAGTTTTTTGCATTCTTGTAACATCTTATTAGTGATTTGGTGCAGCACGGCATGTGAAATGTTGAATACAAGTAATTGGATTCATTGGATTTTGAAAGTACTTTTAAAATGTGGCAAAAAAACTTCCTGAAGTATTGTGATATTACATTTTGCCATATCGACCACCTCTGCGTCACAGCCTGTTTAACATGACTTTTGTGGCAGGTGTGAATGTGTGCATCCCCAAAAAAAAGCGTTTAAGCATTTAAGGGCCGCAAGTTTCAAGAATACAAAGCCTTAACATCAATGGTAACGGTATGCTGGTAATGTATTGGGATTTGAGTGTGAAAACTCTATAAGACTAGCTCCATTTAACATAGACTTGATATATGTATATTTATATATATATATATATATATATATATATAGAGAGAGAGAGAGAGAGAGAGAAAGAGAGAGAGAGAGAGAGAGAGAGAGAGGGGGAGAGAGAGAGAAATAGATAGATAGATACTGACACACCAAAAATCATGGGATAGCAGTATGTAAATTGATTATGAAGTGGTGTTATCTCAGGAGCCGGCTTGAGAACGCTCACACCTGTAGAGGTTGTGAGGTGTTATCTTGTGAGTGAGGTTGAACACTGGCCAGCATGCTCATGGCAAGGTGACATGAGTTTTCTGAGTTTGAACGAGGCATGATAGTGAGTGCCAGATAGAAGGCGTCACCATCTACAGTGGACAGCACAGTGGCCGCCCACAGATGCTTAATGATCGTGACTGGCGGCCTCTGGCTAGAATTGTCCATGCAAACAGACAAGCAACTCTGGCAGAAATTACATCCACATTCAATGCAGGAGGCCCCACATGCCTATCCTGCAGGTCAGTGCAACATTCTTTAGCTTCCATGGCATATGGGAGCAGAAGACCCACCAGAGTGCCTCTGTTAACACCACAACACCAGACACAGCTCCTGACCTGGGCTTGTGAGGTTGCTAACTGGAGCCCTAGAAGACTGGCAACATGTGGTGTGGTTCACTGAGTCACGGTACCAATTGTTTCGGGTTGATGGTAGGGTTTGTGTAGTTCCATACTGGTGTGGAGTGTGTTCTCATGGCATGTGTTGGGTCCACTGGACCACCTAAACAAGTCATTGATCAGTGACTGCTACGTTTCACTGCTTGGTGACCATTTGCAGTCCCTTCATGGACTTCATGCACCGTGCCATCAGGCCCAAGTTGCCCAGAATTGGTTCGTGGAGCATTCTGGAGAGTTCTGATGAATGGTGTGACCTGCACGTTCACCCGTCATTAGCCCAATCAAGCATTTATAGGATGTGGTGGAGAGGTCCATTCACACCCGAAATCCTTCACCTACAAACACCACAGTGCTGTGGGTGGCTATTCAGACAGCATGGCTCAACGTCCCTCCAGACATCCTCCGTCCACCTGTGGAATCAATGCCACATCAAGTTGCTGCACTTCACCGGGCTAGAGAGGGTCCTACACGATACTAGTTCCTGTCCCATGACTTAAGTGTATATACTACATATATTTTGAAGCCCTAGTCTCTTTTGCTCATCTGTGGCGAACGATCCGATACATTGATTGTGATCTTTGGCTGATCTGCTAAAATCTCCTGTAGAAAGTCTTTGTGCAGAACCAACTAAGACAACAGCAGATGTTGTTATGCACCCACTGCTTATATCAGAAGCTAAACCGCACCATCTTGTGCACTTAGCCAATTTGAAGGATCCTTCTGATTGGAACAGCCTTCAACGACAGAGCGGTTAAAATTCAGCCCACCTGGGACTGCAGCCTAGCTTTTAGAACGCTACTTCTTTTACTCTCTCTCGTTCTCTCTCTACCCACCTGGCGGAGAAGAGGCTTTCCACTGATCTCTGTGAGTGGTCGGAGGTCACCGACGAACTCCTTTGAGAGGCTGAAAGAGAGAGAGAAAAAGAGAAAAAGAGAGAGAAGCAGCGGCAGGTTAACCTCCCACACACACATTCTAACAGCTCGCACTCAGAAGACACAGGGCCAGAACGTGTCACACATGCTGCATTGCTCCTGAAGGAACAGTAGCTCACAGCAGGGTAATTTTAAACAGTGAGAAATGAGAGAAGAGATGTTCTTTGTCTTTGTGAGTGTGGGTTTTATTGCTAGTATCCTGGATATTCTTTCTTAAGGAATCAATGTGAACTGAATGTGGAAAGCAGCTGTGTCACTTAATAAAGCAACAACTCACCTTCTGGAAAGGTGCATCGTTCCCATCCAGCTGATGATGGAGTGCTACAGGGAGAAGTGCCATCTTCGTCTAATTAAAAAACAACATTTGGCCTCTTTAGAAGCTTAACTTCATTCATTACACACCAATATTTTGGTTCCCAACATAAGCTCACCCAACATCAGAGACCACCCTTTATTTATTTAACTTCCTGGTAAAATGGCTATTAAATACAAGCAAAACATATATTTTACAGGAAATCACAAAAAAGCCTCAATCATTTTTTCAGTATTTAGTGTGTCCACTCTTGGCCTTCATTATAGCTTGTGAAAGAAATCTGCAGGGATATTTTCCCACACCTTCAAAGTTCAGTCTTAGAAGTTGGTGGCACTTTCTGCTTCTCACGAGCCAATTAATCCAAACACATTCAGTCATGTTGAGGTCTGGACTCTGGGGTGGTCAGTCCATTATTCTGAGAAGACCAGCAGCTTCAAATGTTCTTCTTTGTTGTCTATTTCATTTTCTCAGTGAGGGCTTTTTGACAGCTACACATCCTTTCAGACTTGTAGCACTGAGTTGTCTTCTCACAGTGGAAGGACGGAAACACCTGTGTATGTTTTCAGATCTGAAGCAGGAGTGGAGCTTGATTTTCTCCTCTCTCTGATGAAAGATGAAAGCTTTAATGTTGATCTGATGGGACAGTTCTGTAGGTCTACCAGCTCTTGCATGGTTGTTAGGAATCCCATTTTTCTTTATTTTTTTATCATTTTTTGAACTCCAGTTCAAATGGAAACACCTTTTTAAACTTATTTTCTTTTGACTTTCTCATTCTCTATGCAAGTGGATTAACGTATATCTAATCTACTCTATTCAGAAATGTTTCTTGAGAAATTAATAACTTGCACTTAATAGTCATTTTGACTGGAATACGAATATATAAAGGGTGGTCTCTGACTTTTGCACAGTACTGTACAAACTCCATTCCTGTGCAAAAGTCAGAGACCACCCTTTATATATTCGTATTCCAGTCAAAATGACTATTAAGTGCGAGTTATTAATTTCTCAAGAAACATTTCTGAATAGAGTAGATTAGATATTAGATATTAAACTGATGTCACATGAAATAAGTTTACAATTAAACTTTAACATTATTACATAACAACTTCAGCTACTGAAACTGTACAACCCTCAGAGCAATCCTTAGCTCTTCAAGGGTTCTTTAGTGAAGGGAACATTGTTTAATGCCCTTTACATTGTGTGAAAATGATGAACGGACCAACAGAAATGCTCCACATTTACCTGAAATAATATCTCTGTACATTAACCTACATTCAAAAAAGAAAGAATGTTTTTGCCTTCTTCGTAAAGTTATGTTTTGGAGATGTTTGTTTTTCTTTGGAAAGTGACGATATGGTTCTTCTTAACAATGGTTCTATGTAGCACCAAAAATAGTGGCGATAAAAGTACATGGGACAAAATGTATAGGCTGTGGAATGTTTTTGTTTACAACAGTATGTGATTTTCAAGAAGATCATTTGTTTTTTTTTCCCCATAGACTAAAATGAGTTTACTGAACTAAAAAAATACTACAAAAATTATGATATAACTTCAGAGAAAAAGAAAATCTCTTTTCAAAATGAATAGATATTGAATAAATAGATGAACAGGCCCGAAAATGTATTTGGACATTTGTGTTATGCTTAAAAATGTATTAAGTTCATTGTGTTGGAACAAAATGTCAAGGCGAATGTCATTTTAAACAGACCATTCCAAGACTCATTTTCTTTCAAAAAGTGTCTACTGAGTTTCAGATCATTATTTCTTTTCTGCACGTTTGCATCCAGAATGCCTTTATACATTTCATCAGGATTCCTTCAATGAACACAAGCTCACTAAAACCATTGTAAGAAAAACAGCTCCAGACTGATGTTTCCACCTCTGTGCTTTACAGTAGCCTTAGTGCAGTCTGGTTGGAATTCCACTCCACAAAATGAGTCTACCATCAGTTTGAGATTGTGCTAAAAATGTCTTACTCTGAAACAAATATCATTTTGTTAAACACTTTATGAAGTCATCTACAGAACCTTATTAAAGTTGACTAGTGGTTAAATGGGTGAAGTGTCCAAATACTTTTTTGGGCCATTGTATAGTGAATGTTGTTTAGCAGAAAGCTTACAGTAGTTGTTGAAATGGGGCAAAATATCTTGATTCAGTTCTATCTTATTCAGTTCATTTTTATTAGAAAATTAGAAAAGAAAAAATGTCTTGAAATTCTGTTTGTGAGCCTGTCTCAGTAATTAGTTTAAATGAGTAACATGATTCAATATCCATGTTATATACTTAAAATCTGTATAACAAAATATCACACTGCGAAATATGATACCCTAGCACCTAAATCAGCCAAAATCAATATATCTAATATGTCTTATAATGAGATATAATAATGAGATATAAGAATATTATAAGATTATTCAGCCAATTTCTAGACATTTTCACTTGTTTAAGTGGTTTTATCTACTTAGATAATATTCGTCCACTTTGCCAGTGGAATAAGATCATTTCACCTGATAAAATGACTTTATAAATGAACTATTTTGAATTATTTTGAATGAATAAATTTTTGCACTGCACCCCTCCAGTCTCTTTACCTCGGTCAGGTGGTCAGTTGTGGATGTGGACAAATATCCTTCATCTTTCATTCAACCTATGACTGCTGTGCTAATGTACTCTGCCCTAATTCTACATTTATGTTGAACATCACTGGATGGGTCTTACGAAGCAGCGGTGTTTCTTCATCTCCTTCAGGCAAGTGGCCAGACTGAGAGCGTCCGAGGCCTACAGAGTAGCCACGGCTCTTCCTGCTTCCAGAGCGCGAACTTGAGTGTGAGCCTCTCTTCAGTTCTTCCCCTGAGAAGGAAAACAGAGCACAGGTAGCATCATGTGCTGTCAGAATCACCATAAATTACATCCTTTCCAAATCATAAACGGCAGGAGGGATACAAGTACTTTGATGCAGCTATTTGCATGTTGTCAGTTGCATGCAATATAATTTCCACGCAACCTGACAGGAACAATTAAAGGTGTGTTGAGGTTGTTAACATTTAGTTACTCCAATAATTAGCCAAATTTCCACATGACTGTATATAACTTTTATCTGTCTACCTATGACTCTTTATTATATATTTAAATTTAGAATCTGTCATGTCTAAGTAGGCATTACGGCTATATTGCTTGATGTCTTGCTTGTTCTGTCCTAGAAGCACTGCAAGGTCATCGAGGAGCTCATCTCGGTTTCCTCTTCTGTAATAACTGTTGTACTTTGGATCCCAAAGGAATCTCAAGAGAGCAGGAAATGAATCCAGCTACGTAGATACGATAACATCAGAATTACAAAGAAGGATAAATGGTGGCACAGGCAGGCATTTAAACAGCTGTTGCCTTTGGCTGACTAGTTAAGACAGCCGCTTACAGAAACTATTAGTATTCAAGAAGCTCATTTGTTTTTTATTTTTTGGCTCAGAAAACTGACAAAATGAAAAAATACCAACCTTAAATAAAGGCAGTCTGGAAGCTCTTATTTTCAGCTGTTCAATAAACCATCATCTGTTTTATTAATCACAGAGAAGGCAGAGGTAAACTAGTCCCTTACTTAAGTAAAAGTACTAGTAATTCAGTAAAAAATACTCAAGTAAGAGTTGAAGAAAGACTTTTTACTCAAGTAGAAGTATAAAAGTACACGCTCATATATGTACTCAAAGTAAAAAAATAACAGTATTTATTTCAAACTGAGCATGCATAATGGTTTATACTAGAACTGCATGCATCATCCAAAAAAATCCACACATCTAGAGCACCCAAACACGTTTACATGTTTGATTTCCTTTAAAAGAATTTGAGATGGACAATGCTGCAATCTTTAGGGAGAAAAAAAAACTGTCAATTTTTATTTAAGGAGTCAAGACTGAACAGCAGATCAAATAAATCCTTTAAGTAAGGCCAGGGCTGGAGTGGGACCTGTTTTCAGACCTGGAGTTACATCAGGCTATAGGCTGTTCCTAACAGCCATGCAGTCATCACTCTACATATTCCACCGCTTCCCACTGATTGTGTGAAGACAAGGAAAAACAACACAGCAATCTTAAACACCTTAACCTAATCATCATCGGCTAAAGCATACTGCCACAGCAGGAAATGAAACATGTTTATGGTCTATTTATGTCTTACCTGTAATGACTCAATGAACTGAAGTAACGTATGTACAGGCATCTGAACATAACCATTACATCATTTAAGATGAAAAGGGGAAATGAAGCTAATTTCAGCTTCATCTAGTCTCTATCCACTGTACGAGTCTCAGTTACAGTCCCGGAACTGTATCACTTGAGATGAGGGCGCCTACTTTACTACAGATATACATTTGGGTGTGACATTTACAGTTTAAATGTTCTTGTGCTGTGAGTTTATTCATTAACCCGCTGTACCAAACCAAAACTCTACCGGCTTACTGGGAATTCCCCTGACTCTCCTGATAAACCATTCCAGGATTGTGTGAGCCCATGAATGCAGATTTTCTTTTAGATGCATCATCCGCATTAAGTGCTCACCCTTTATTCAACATTATTTTTTCACAATAATATGAATATCCCTTTAATATCATCACAGTCTGAACAAAACTTCATATCTTCAAAATGGCAAGTTGACAGGAGAAGAAAAAACCTTCCTAACTTCTAATAGAAATTAATATAACTAGACTTTTGCTGTTCTATCATTCATCATGAAATTTTAACACGATGCAAAGGATAACTATTATACAAAAAATAAAAAGTGACAAAACTGGAGATCTGTTTAGCAATTTTTGCTGTTACAGTTAGCAGAAAAGTCTGTGGTTAATGTTAATACAAATCATTTTCATTTTTTCATAAATACTATTAATTAGTTGTAAATCTTAGGACTTGTCATTCCAAACTAATATTTAAACTATTTAATATTTTACTTTAAAACTAATAACTAAGTTTCATGGTTGTACAGAGTGAGGAACTGAAGTGTTTCTTGCAGCTTAAGGGGCCAATAGCCAATTCAGCGCCAGTACAAATATTTGTTTTTCTTTTATAAAACCGTTTTTTGGTGAGCATCGTGTGACTCATGGTTTAAATCCGGAGCTAGGATTCAATCTTCTTCTCTCATGTGAAAGGGGTTGTTAGCGAAGCGCCCTGCTTTCTTTCATGTGAGGAAGCGTATTGACAGAAAGTGTAATGCTCATTAGAGAAACAGAGGCATGACTCACCGCTGTGGAGGTACTCAATGGAAGTTAGTAAATACTCATTGCTGTCGAGATCGATGGGCACAAAGGCTGTGTATTTGCTCAGGATGTTGCAGGCCTTGCTGGTTTGCATGGCGTACAGCTGATACCGCCTACCAGAACCTGAAGGGAAAAATAAAGTCATGTGATTGCTCCAGAATTGTCCAACTGGGGCAGATTTTGCAAGAACTGTCCCTGTGTTAGCCACAGTGAGCTAATCATCTAGGCATGTGAATTTTGCAATGCAAAACGTTTTTTAAGAACTTTGAGCATAACATACACAACGTGTGTGAGTAACTGCTCTGTCTTTTTATCAACTTGATGTAGAATCATGCCTTTCTTTTTGTTCTTGTTAGCCGTATAGCCTTTAGCATGCTAACGAGCCAGCTGGCAGAGGAAAGTGATGAAGTTGTATCAGTTGTAACCTAAAGCCCAGAATATTTAATGTTATGGTTTTGAAATGTTGAGCATTTTAAAATAGTTTATTGCTATGGCTTATAAACAGCTTTATCAGCCATTGTTTTCAGGATTGATGAGGGAAATGCGTCAGGCCGCAATGAATTCTGGGAAGTTCTGCTGCTGAAATCGATACTGGTGTTCGCTTGATCCCTCGCCCCTCCGAGTGCTCATCTAACACCCTTCACTTGAGCTAATAAAGTAATGGAACAGCCCTTAAGATGGCGCCGGGGTTCCCCCCTGAGGGGAAATGACAAGGGCAAGAGGATTAGAACTTGTTAAAACCAGTATATTGAAACAGAGGTAAGATAATCAGTGTAGATACAATGGCCACATAAACTCTGAATACATGACACTTGAATGTATAAACCCGAGGTCTGCATAATACCTGCGTATGTGCAGGTATTATGTTGCCCATGGCATGTGCTCGTCATGCCCATGAAATCATGTACAAATTCCTTTATTAATTTTTATTCAATTATATTGTAAAAATTATCAAAATATATTAAAAGAATTATCAACTGTTTTGCACCAAACTCAACAAGCTGTTGTCTAATAAAGTTAGTCATGTCCAGATACACATCTCTGTGATTTTGGTGGATTTTCCAAGCAGATGTCGCACCTTATTGGAAAAAATAGTTTTTTGACTGCTGCTGCTTGCTGTATTTAATCTTCTAGCATGTGTATTCATATTAAACATTTTCAAAATAAAGAAACTATGGATGTCTTTGAAATCTTTCAACCATTTACATGATCCGGGTGATAGAATGCTGAGCTCGAGTGGTGTCAGAAGCTGGGAAATAGGAATTTTTCTACTGGTAATTTGCACTTGAACAGTCAACAAAGTCATATTTACAAGTGGGTAACTGGAGACACACGAGTTTACAAGATGTGACCGATAAAAAGATAAACTTGGAGGTGACGGGGGAAAAAATATACCTGATAAACTGCCATGTGATCTATGTCCTTTTTAATATAGCAGTGAAAAAGCAGAATATGTTTTCTCCAGACCTCCTTTCTTTCTGCATGTGGTGGGTGTATCTTTCACCAAGCACCCAAATGGAGTGAAGTTACTGGTTAACCATCAGGTGCATACAACCTTTCAACCACAGGCGTCACTAGGCCAGTTTTCACAATATATTGTAATAGCAGGGTGCAAACTGCGGGAGGCGCTGCGGCTGTTATGCAGTGCTGCCTCTGCAGTGCTACCAGAGATTAGCTAACTAACGTAATGTGAAAAGTGGAACACCGAGTTCATCCAGTCATGTCAGACCTCGTAAGTTGTAAGCCAGTCATCTCAGACCTGAGTGAGGGTCTCCGGTTTTACTCTCACTGCACAGTATTCAGCAACTGCTAAAGCTAAAAACAGGACTTTGGCTATAAACTCACTAAAATAAACATTAGACCTTATTTAAAATCTTTAACATACAGAGTGAAGATACCCAGCCACAATATGAATTTGTGGTGAATTATGGTCAGCATAGCTGGCTGTTGGGTTTTTACTCAGTTGCTTGTTAGCTAGCTAACTTTCAGTTTAGGTCAGGCAAAGAAACAGGTTAGGCTAATGCTAACATAAGTTAGCTAGCTGTTTAATTCACTTCATAGTGAGAGTGTGAACGAGCGAGAGAGATAATAGCGTTACTGACAGCTCTTTATATGCTTTGTTTTTATATTTTCCCCTTCAGTACTTGGAAACGGCTACACCAGTATTTGCCCTATAATGTTGTTTACAGTAAGTTAATGTCAGTGTAAAGGTCATATAGCGTTGATCATAACACAGTTTCAGATCCCTCAATTCCTCAACCTGTAGATGGAAATGAAGTGATGAGTCGGTAACTCTGTTAAAGGCCAGTAAGATGAGAAGATTTTTGCCAGTTAAAACAAAAAAAATGTAATCACTTGATCTCTCATTATTTCGTTGAGTTGTAAACCCGAGTTAAATAAAATGGTGTATTAGTAAACACAGGAAGAGCGGGAGAGAAAGAAGCTGAAGGAGACTGACGGGGCAGAAGGAGCAGATCTGAAGGAGGTTAGTGATTAAGATGAAAGTGAGGGAGAGTTGTTTACAGCTCTCTTTAGCTTTCAATTAAAATTAATACAGAATTTAATTAACCTTAACTGAGAAAATATATTTGTCGCTATAACCATGACATTTTGTCACCTAGCTCAGTAAACATGCCTACACACTCTTTCTGGTTGCACCAACTGAGACTGAACTGATCTATAATCTGTGTCTTTGAATAATATATTTAGGATCTTGCAACTTATCTAAGAGAGAGGAGATAGCTTTGCTTGACCTCAGTACCTTAGCTCGATCTGTGCCTGTAAGTGGATGGATATGATAAGTCATACTAGCTCTGTACTTAATAAAAACTACAAAGAGACTGATTTACTGTATGCCAAATAACCATTTTTGATACGTTTTCTGGCTGTTGCTACTCTAAAAGTTTATGATAAATATTTTGAGGCCATTAAAAAAATTCTCTTGGGAAGCCATGCTCCTATACCCCCCTAGCCCCCCTTCCTGAACACAGCATTTGTCTCCAGCCTCTCTACACTGGGAGAGCATTATCAGGAGGAGAAACAAAAAAGAAAGTCTACCAGAGAAGCGAGATCTGGCAGGCCGATTAAAGGAGCAATTACAATGCCAGCTACAAGTACAAAGCACTTTATATGAACATACAGCTACATAATATCATCAAATAATAGGCAGCGAGGAAGCATTATGTCCCAGATACCACTATAGTGGGGCTGTCAACCACCAGCTAGCCTACTTCATTGTAGTAAGGAGACAAAAAAGAGAAATTTTATTTTTATTTTCTATTTTATTTTCTATTTTATGACTGCTGACCTCATACTTAACCGTCTTGTAGTAAAAACTTAACTTAAGTCGAGCTGTGTTCACCTGTTGGGGTTTAAAAAGCGTCAATCCAAGGTTTTTGCTTTATATCCTGCCTTTTGGGATACAAGCTGTGTAAATGTTGCTATGGTAAAAGCGGCCACGGAAAATAGATTATGATCAAAGGAGAGCTTTGGTGGTCAGGTTTAGTTGTTTAAGATGGAATAAAGGCATGAGGATGCAAGAACTCAGTGCCTTTGGGTTCTTCCTGTCTAAAATTACATTTTGTAACATGTTCATTGGTATCAGAGGGCTTTTTTTTAAGCAGTTAGAAGTCCAAGTGAGAAGGCCGAGGCACCCCCCAGCCCCCAGCCTCACCCCAGCTGCAGCCCTGGTTTACTGTTAACATTGGCTCATGTGAGAGCTCTGGGTTCAGATTAATGAGCATACAGTTATGTACTGTATTGCCTAGTGGAAAAACACCTTTAGTATAAGCTACTGCTTGTCTGATGAAGATCAAATTTTGCAAAGACCAACTAAACCTTCCGATTACTGTAGTATCTCCATTTATAGATGACATTTATTTATATTATGTAACCCTTAAAGAGAAACTTTATACATGTTATTATGTCTTTTTCTTACTTCACACAGTAAGTTCTGAAATGTTGAAGTAATGTAACCAGGAGAAGTCAGAGCTCCTGAGAAGCTCTGACTTTCCAAGTGGGAATTACAGCTTTCAAAGCTGTTGATTTTTCCTACTCCCTGTTCTGTTTTGAATGCACCAGGACTGTATGGGCTCATGACTTACCGTGCTCAATCTCACATTCCTTATCAGCCATCTGCTCAAAGTCTTGAATGATGGACCGTGCAGCCAGGTGATGGAAGGTTTCATTCCACAGATCTTCGTGGACCTTTTCCTCTCGCTCTCGGCCTTTCAGGTAGGGCTCGATGTCGAAGGTCACCTCCCATTTCACGGATTTTCCACACAGCAGGCCGGACACAACCGCCTTACAGTCCCCTTTAACCTGCCCCATGGCTTTGAAGTCCGGGGTGTGCGGATCTTGAGGCGTTTCCGCTTCGCAAAGCTGGTGAGTGTAACCATCTGATAACAAAACCCAGTGGAGAGAACATCTGTTCACAGTGTTTACAGTACATGAAGGGACTGTTTTGACACATGAATTCATCCTAAAGATCAGAATATCAGTAGGCTATGCAGCGTAATCCGTCTTTCCAGATCATATTCAGTGGAATGGCTGATGTAAAAGGGTCTTCGTGCTCTGCAATGTCATGTTTTTAATAATGTAATGACGCTTCTGTGTTTTTTTAATGAGAATGTGTTTGCACCGTCTGTTCACCCACTGATTTCTCCTGCGTTCTTCCATTGCTTTAAATGTCTTTCACTGTGAAGGTTAATGGAATAGCTAACAATTACTTTCAGCTATGATGCTAACCATACACTGTGTCATCGCATCAGTAAATCACTGGAACGCAGGTAATGATGGTGTTTCACACACATTCATGCCCTCTGCATTGACCTACATACACAGTCTTTTTTCCGGCACGCATAAGCACAGCCTCACATTACATTGTGCTGTTCTGTATATTTAAATGTACAGTACAGTTAGGGATGGGGTGGTCTATATTTCAGTACTGAGTCTATTTCAAGCTCTTGAAAACACATTAAGCACTTATAGCAATGACATGTTTCAGTACCTACAGATGTTGTTGACTTTGCTGAATGCACTGAAATGGATGTACATTACTGATAAATGGCACAGAAGAGTGTAGATTAGAACAATAGGACAATAATTTGGTTTTGTCAAGCCAACTTATTAGTTTTATATTATTGGAAACATTAATTCCACACTTTTGAATGGCAGTGTCAATCCTATAATGCTCAGTGATGGACCCAGAGTTGTGGTGATTAGACTGACCTGCCTCTCCCACGCTGCCCAGTGACGGGCTGTCAGTGGAAGATCTGGAACCATCCTCCATGTTTGGGCCACGTGTTTGGGCCGGCTGTGCGCTGGGACTAGGCTGAGTCTGCTCCGGCTCAGGGTCACCATGGGGTTCTTCAAGCTGTGCAGGTCTGTGTCCCACCACGCCTTGCCCTCTGGAGGAGGTGGCACACAGGCTGGCCAGCTGGGGCTGCATGAGAAGCAGATACAATATTATAGTGCCATTTCAGTACAGTGTAAGATTCCATAAAAGCACTGTGTTGAATTGACTAGAGTCAAATAAGTACAGCATTTCTCCCTGAATAAAACAATTAGTACCTAAATGAATTAATCTCAAAGACTAACTGTGTCTGTAACATATTTTATATATCTTATTAATGTGGATATTTGAATCTGCCCCTTCATCATCAACTTGTTGCTGAATTAGTCTGATTTTGTATAAAGAGTTCCTGTTTTGTCTGCTCTTCTCAAAATATCATGTCTTGATGTCTTAATTCAAGTCTTAATTATATGCCTTGTTTTCTAACCTGATGGTGTTAAGTCGTGTTCTGTTTCTTCTTTCCTTCTATTTTATTGTTTATCCTGTTTTAGAACTTGTGTTCAGGATTACTGATATGCTTGTGTTGTGTGCCTTGACCTCTGCTGTGGTCTCTGACAGTGATTCTTGGATTTGCATTAATAAACAGACCTCACACTTGAACCCAACTCATTTTCCTTGCTCATCACAATTGTATCACAAGCTCTGTTTTTGAGTATGAAGCAGATAAATAGTCAGATGTGGAGTGTCAGGTATGGAACTTCAAATCAAGATGTAAGTAGAAGAAGTTTTATTATGAGTAAAATCTGATATAAAGTTATTGTAGTGTGTATTGTACTGTTTCAGGGAAAGCTTTTCTGTTAGATGTAGAGCACCTCATGGAACTGGCTTTTGAATGACTCACTGACTGACTCACTGAGTGACTAACTCACTGACTGACTGACTGACTGACCGACTGACTCACTGACACATTGGCTGATTGACTTACTGAATGATTGCCTGACTGACTGACTTACTGAATGATTGCCTGACTGACTGACTTACTGACTCTCTGACAAATTAACTGACTGACTAACTCACTGACTGACTTACCTACTGACTGATTGACCGACTGAGTGACTTCTGGACTTACTGACTAACTCACTTACTGACTGACTGACTGACTCACTCACTGACTGATTGACTGACTGACTGACTGACTCACTCACTGACTGATTGAGTAACTGACTTACTGACTGATTGACTGTCTGACTGACTCACTGACTAACTGACCAACTGACTGACTGACTTACTGACTGACTCACTGACAAATTAACTGACTGACTGACTCACTGACTGATCGACCAACTGACTGACTGACTTACTGACTGACTCACTGACAAATTAACTGACTGACTGACTCACTGACTGATCGACCAACTGACTGACTGACTCACTGATTGACTGACAGACTGATTGACCAACTGACTGACTTATGGACTGATTGACTAACTCGCTTACTGACTGACTGACTGACCGTCTGACTCACTCACTGACTGATTACCTGACTTACTGACTGATTGACTGTCTGACTGACTCATTGACTGATTCACTGACTGACTCACTCACTCACTCACTGACTGATTACCTGACTTACTGACTGATTGACTGTCTGACTGACTCATTGACTGTTTCACTGACTGACTCACTTACTCACTCACTGACTGACTGACTGACTGACTTACTGATTGAGTCACTGACTCACTCACCCACTGACTCACTCATTCACTCACATTTAGCAGACTGAAAGTTCTATAAAGGGGTGCTATTAGCAGTCAGGTAGCTTTTAATGCTTCATTAGTGACACCGCATCATTACCATCGAAACAAAAACAAAAAACAGAAAGAAGTGCAGACTCGAACCTGGCAATGTTTGAATTATTTAACTATGCAGTTGCATAGAATTACAAAATTAAAAAATTATTGAATGTATATGTAGTGATTTATATACTGTGCTATTAATTCTGTACCTATGTAGTTAAATTTAATTACAATTAAAAAAGTTGTTATGTATTGTAAATTGAACATATAGGAAAACGACAATAATAACTCTAGACTTCAGTTTACCCACTTCGGTTCTTCCACCGCTTGAAGAGTGTTTTCAGCTAACTAATAGAACAGCTAATGATTATTTTCAGCTATGATGTTAAGCACTCTCACTGTATACACAGTCATACAGCAGTTGACTTTATCTGTCTGTGGCAGTTCAACAGATGTTGTTTGGTGGTTTGTGGTGTAATTAGGTGGGTATTTGCATGTGTTTGGGAATTTGGGAGGCAAGTGGGAAACTCCTGCATTGAGACAGTCATTTAACTCTGTACTCACAACTTTATAACCACTAAGGGTTCTGCTAGGTGTGGAAGTCACAATGCAATTCTTCTGCAAAATTTAAACATGTGATATGCTAAGCACTGCAAAATGACATAATGCAATATATTATGATTTATTAATTTTGACCACAAAAACTTGTTTTATCTAACGAAGTTTACACTTGAATCTCACCAAGTGGCCAGCCTACAAGAGTCGATGGCTCTAACTGAGTCACTGACTGACTGACTGACATACCATTATTGAAATGCACATGTGCAGGTGTCACCCAAAACAAGCAGCATGTGGCGCTATACACCATTAAATATTGCCCTTATACCCTACCAACATAAGGCTAAAAAATAATGGAAGAAAGAAACGTATTCATTAAAACACATCATGGTTTTGTTTTTGTTTTTTTTTCACGTTAACGCTGACCTAATATAACGTAAAGTAACAGCATCAAGTACTTCTTCTTGAAGTTGAGCTGTGTCTTGTGAATTTTTCTTCATTGTGTTGTTTAAGCAGCTTTATTTTTATATTTTTTCTGTTCCAGGTGAGAATAAAGTCACGAAGCACTAGTACATGAAAGATACGTGCACCAGAATGTAGACTGGTCCAAGGAGTGCACAGATCCACTACTGCTTCTTTTAGCACTAGATGACAACTGCATAGCAGTGCCTTGAATGCCACTGCTACCATAATAACAATGCAGTAATAAATAATATCGTTCCCTATAACTGTATAGTTTAAACAGGTTTACTTGATTTAAACAATTACTGAACACTCTACTTATTATCATTATTATTATTAGTAGTAGTAATAGCTGATGGTGGTTCCAACAAAACTAGGCTTAATTAGCCTTATTATATTATAATGATGCTTTCTGTCCTGCCTGAAAGCTGATATTGGAGAGGGTGTAATCCATTACACTATCTAACCATCCCTAATCCCTTCACTAAAAGACACTTTGGTCTCTCTAGAAAGAAACGGTATCTTGTGGGTTAAAACAGAAATGCATTTTGGTAATCTGGTAATTTTAAAAAGAGCTTAATACACATCACGTATATTAATAATAAAACCAAAAATATATTATACTAAGGCCTCCATGTATCAATACTAGAAACCACTGCCCAAAAAAGTTGGGGCAGTAAGTGAAATGCCAATGAAAACAGAAAGCAGTGATTAGTCAATTCTGTTTACCCTGTATTAAATTTACATCTGTACAAAAACACAATATTTGCTGTTTTGCCTTATTACCTAACTTTTTTTTGGTAATTATCCACACATTCAAACAGTTAATAAATGACTGGAGACTGGAGACACCGACTGATCCTATTTTAATTTATTTTAAATTATGTTTTATTTCATTTTTTTTGTCATTTTTCAGGTATATGAGTCTTCAGCTAATTTTTTGCACTTCATATTGCACCACATGTTTCAGTAGGAGACAGGCAGACCAGTCTAGCACCCACACTCTTTGATTACACAGCCATGCAGAGTCTAGGGCAGCATATGTTGCTTCATAAATGTGTACAAATCTTTCACTGTTAATACTGCTTTCACATATGTGCAGGTTACCCATAGCATGAGCACTAAGACTCCACACACCCTGGCTTTTGAACATTTTGCTGGTAACAGTCTGGGTGGTAACTTCTTTGTTTACTTTGTTGGCCCAGAAAACACAACATTCATAATGTCCATAAACAAATCTGAAAGACTTGAGAGACTGCAATGCACATTTCTGCTGAGCATCAGTCCATTTCAGATGAGCTTGAGCCCAGAGAAGTTGGCAGCATTTCTGGACATTATTGACAGATGACTTCTGCTGTGCATAGTACAGGTTGAACTTGCATTTGTGGATGCAACACTGTAGTGTTTATTGACAATATCTTGTCTCTGTACTTCTTTCATTCAAATTTAGTGGATTTACACATCACTGCTTCTGTTTTTATTTGCGTTTCACATACTGTCCAAACTTTTTTTGGTATTGTGTTTGTACTAAACCTAAAATATTGTGATATTATACTGTACCGATTTTTTCCTCTACCACTCGGCTCTGCTGTCATTTCCAAATATGGAAAAAGGAAAAGCTCATTATACCACATGCAGAATCTACAAAAGAAACAGCTTTTTCCTTTTCATTATTATATCTTTGAGTCATAGCCCTGGCAGTGTTCACCTGGACGTAGACGGCGTTTTTGATGGTGGAGAAAAGCTGCCTGCTTAAGTGTGCCATTAAAGTCATTATTATACTCATTGAAGGGGAAATCAAAGGCCTTTATTATCGCCAGTATTACTCTGCAATATTCCTCAGAGCCTTTTTTTTTAATGAAACATTTCTTGCTGTGAAAAAAGCCTGAGCGAAGCTATTGATATGTTCCCTCTATTAAAGTAACCTTGATGCAGAAAATTATATGATCCATTAGGGGTCTTCGTCCCAGATTTTCAGAACAAACCTTGCTTTTTGTGACAAGAGTAATTTTTGACTTTTTTCATGTATTGGATTTATCGGTGGGGTGTTCTGCACTGAACTAAAAGCTCAAGAAAGGGAAACAATTAGCATTGAATGTAGCCCACATGTTCTCAGCTGTTGCTTTTCCGACTAGAGAGGCTGCCTGGAGCACACTCAGGGCCGTTAGGAGGCACAAACACACATGTACCCCTCATTCTCTTCATGTGTGAAGAAACCCTGATTGTGGTGTAGAAAACGAGCGGGACCCTTGTTAGCAGACGGAAGAAGCAGGAGGATCTCACTCTTGCTTTGTGTTCTTGATTGCATTCAAATTCCTCTTTTGGGTCAGGCATATTTTCATCACCTCATTATCTCTCCTCTGCCACCGCAATTTCAACACTGGCGCATCTCTCTGTGACAGCCAATAACCTTTTTTCCCCCCTGTCAGTGGAACCGAAGGAGATTCTGGATTACCGGGCGTGTGGCCATGCATTACAGAATGTCATTAACAGCCTCTACCTGAAAGCCAGGCCTCTATTTGAGAAGCGAATTACCTTTTTCGAATTCCTTTTTTTTTAATGTAACCCTCCTCTGAGTAAATAGCCCAAACTGTATTTGTGTTTAGATGTGACAGAAAGAAGACTGAATTACTCCGACTCCAGACTAGAGCTCAGAAAATGAGATCACTCCTGCTAAAAAACAGCTGAATCCTCAGGGCTTTTCCCCACTTTAGTCTCTTATTATTGTGACAGCTTCTTCGCTGTAGCAGATGGCTCTGGAGAGATTAGCCAAAGAAACCTTATCTGCATAGATAAGATTGACGAAAGTCTTTAAAACAGAACTTTAAGAAGTGAATCAGATCATTCAGTTGAAAACAGCGGTTACAAACGTTTATGTAAGATAATTTCATACACTAATAAAATACAGGCTATAGACTATAATGTTGGTTAATCGTATAAATACACTTTTTTGTATGTACAGCCCGATCCCATTTCACCCCTTGCCCCTACCACTTAGCCCTTACCCCTCCGTTTTTGCGCGTTCACGCCTTGGGGTAGGGTGTCCCGATTTTTTGTTGAGATAGAGGGGTAGAGCAAAGTGTTAGAGCTACAAGGCCCGCCAAACGGAGGTTTTTCAAAGTAACACTCCAAACGGAGTGTTATGAGAAAAAAGAAAAATGGCAAGATGGCTGCACAAGCGAACAAAGAAACCCACAAAAGTGAGTATTTTCTCCATTAAAAATTATGATAATAATTGTATTATCTTAGTTTAATGTCTTCATAACAAGCATTAAAAATCGCTAATAGTATGCTGATGTCTCAGTGGCTAGCTAGCTAAATTTCATTCAAACAAGAACCTAGCGAATAGCTGACTTCAGCTTCGGCTTTGTGAACCATGTCAAAAGTGTACAGTCCTTGTTTTTCTTTGTTGGTTTTGGAGAGGGTATGTCTTTCATTACATCTGTTCATCTTTTTTTGCATTATTTTTTAATATTTCATAATTATCTGTAGTCTAGTAGCATACTAGTGGCACAACATGTAAACTAACTTTAGATCAGGTTAGCTAAAGGGAGCTCTGTGAAACCAGCAGCATTTCAGCAGCTAAGTAGGTTATTAATAAAAAAATTTGTAAAAGACAAAATATGGCATTAAAATACCATACAGGTGCATTTTATAGTTCTACAGTTACAGACTGTAGTCCATCTGTTTCTCTGTATACTTTGTTAGCCCCCTGTTCTTCAATGGTCAGGACCACCACAGGTATTATTTGGGTGGTGGATCATTCTCAGCACTGCAGTGACACTGACGTGGTGGTGGTGTGTTAGTGTGTGTTGCACTGGTAACCAGTTTGTTAGTCATCCTCTAGTCCTTCATCAGCGGTCACAGAACGCTGCCCACAGGACGCTGTTGGCTGGATATTTTTGTTTGGTGGACTATTCTCAGTCCAGCAGTGAGATGTGTTTAAAAACTCCAGCAGCACTGCCGTGTCTGATCCAGTCATGTCAACGCAACACTACTAATATCCCAAAACAAATACCCGTGCATAAAAAAGGCAATTCTTTATGATATATACAGAGGATATTAATAAAAAGACAGATATTCTATTTACCATTTAAAGAAAAAACCCTCGAATCTCGAAATCTCGAAAAGAAGCATCAGGTTCTGAAGTACTGATCAGCCTATTCTCTAAAAGGAAAGTGCCCCGAATCCAAACCAGCAGGATCTGACATGCTTGTACGTCTACAGACACAAATTGTGTGTATATTTAAAAGTCTAGAAACCATAGTAAACACACAAAGTACTCAAACACGGTACATTCAGTGCTGCTGTCATTGTAGTACGACTACAGCTGTTTGATATGGGAAGCATTATTCTATCTAGGTGGTGGAGACACAAGCAAAAAAGACTCTTGTAGTCGTCTCCACAGCTTAGATAGTCACATCAGTGACACTGTGTCCTTGTAGTATTTGTATTCAGTGAAGATATTCAAGACTGCTGTAGCTTCTCAGTGCTGCTCTGATGCTCTCAAACACTGACCGCTTATCATCTGTTACCATGAGAGAAAGCTGTAGAAAATGTTCTGAATAACAGCTCAGATGCTTTTTCTTTCATACGTTCTGAAGTCTTACTGACCTGATAGTTCATCTTCCACTGGGCCCCGTGGTCAGGGCTGGTCTGGCCAACGAGCTCCTGGACTTTGGCTCTCCTCAGAGGGTTTTTGCCCACTGCTGAGCTTGGGTCACTGGGGGTGTACACCTTCTTCAGCGGGTTATAGTCTTCAATCTGGTTGGTGCTGTATGCGCGTCTCCTTGTGCCCATATCGGCCCCTACAATGAGGATTCCATAATCAATCAATCAATCAATCAATCAATCAATCATCATCAAGCACTGTGCAAACTATTCATAACAACAGAAGGTAATCCGTTCCTCTCTCCCTCGTTTTCTCTGTCTCTTCCTTTCCATCTCTCCATCTTTCAGTCTTTTTATCATTCTCTCTATTTCTCTTCCCATTTCTCTCTTTTTCTCTTCTCTTTCTTCCTCGCATTCTTTGTCTTTCCTTTTTTCTTTCTGTCTCTTCTACTCTATCTCTTTCTTTCTCTCTCTATTTCTATCTCTCTTTCTCCTCTCTTCCTCCCTATGATTCTTTCTTTTTCTTTCAACCACTATCTCTCTTTTGTTTCTTTTTCAATCTGTCTCTCTCTCTTCTTTCTCTTTCTTCTATGTCTGTATCATTGTATCTTTCTTTCTTTCTTTCTATATCTCTATCTCTTTTACGTTCTCTCTCCCATCAGTTTCTCTTTCTATATCTACATCTCTTTCTTTCTTTCTTTATTTCTTTTTACCTTCACTCTCTCTTTATTCCTCTTCCCCTCTCTTTCTCTCTCTATTTCTCCTTCTTTTCTGTCTCTCTCTCCCCTCTCTTTCTCTCTTTCTTTCTTTCTCTCTTTCAATCTCTATCTTTTTTCTCTCCACTGTATTTGTCTTTCTATCTCTATATCTTTCTTTCTTTCTTTTTTCTTTCTTTCTTTCTTTCTCTTAAAGTGCTTCTTTTTTTCTCTTTCCACTCTCTTTCTCTTTCTGTCTCTCTTTATTTCTCCTTCCCCTACTTTCTTTCTTTCTTTCTCTTTCCCAAAGACAAGCATCTAAAACAGGGCAGAAACAGCAGTCAGTGTGAGTCTCTCTCACTGAAAACAAAGGGAAATAAAAAAGCTCTTAGTGCAGCTGACTCTGATTGGTCTGCGGAGAACTCACTGCCTGACTCCTGCTTGAGCTGCAACACAGTAAAACACTGCAGTAGTCAGGAATCCCCGAGGGCTGGATTAGGAAACTCCGGCTGTGTTTGAAAGTGCATACTGGTGTACTGTGACTGCAGGGGGTTGTCAATTGCAATGTCCTGCTGGAGGACGAGTGTCCTACACAGTTGAATAATGTCTCTGTTCACTACACTGGTATACCACTGACAGTTACTGGTATATTGCGTATTACTTTTCACACTGTACAGTACAGAGGTGGCTAGTAATTAGTTACATCTACTCAGTTACATATATAATGTCCACTTTGATGTACTTGCACTTTTCTGAGAAGTTTATTTGTGAGAAAAGGAATTAACGTTTACTTATCAGTATTTAATTACTAATTCCTGTATTTCTTTATTTCTCCTTTATATTTGTGAACCATGTCGAAAGTGTACAGTCCTTGTTTTTCTTTGTTGGTTTTGGAGAGGTTATGTCTTTTACTACATCTGTTAATTTTTTGCATTATTTTTCAATGTTTGATAATTATCTGGGGTTTTTTTTATTATTTGTTTCACATTTTTCTTTATACTTTAAGAAAATATATTAATAATACATGGAATATTATAGGTTAAACCAATATAGGTTAAACCTATATATATAATAATACTTTAACACTAGTATATCCTGCATCTCTTCTACCTCAGACTTGCCAAACTGCATATATAGAAATGCGTATATTTGAATATATTATAGCTTTTTATTTTCATAACTTACTATGAAAGTTGTATATTTGGAAAATGGTGCAATACTGGTGTATATCAGTGGGTTCATATTTTGTTGAAGAGACTACACGCCTACGATTTTCACTCACCTGCACACCTGTGTGCATGTTGATGTGACAAACGTGATTTGATTTGATTTTGATTTGATTCGATAAAACTATGAGATAACTATTGTTTACTCTTCTGTAGTCTTATTGATGTATAAGATAAAGAGACTTTTTTGTCGTTTTACACAGGCTGCATCTCAATCTGAATACACACCCAAAACTGAGCTGGAGGAGAGGAAGAAACTCTGAGAAGCTTAGGCAGGAGTTCTGGTGCAGCTTGCTGAGATCAAGGAAGCCGGACCCCCAAGGAACTCCAGATTAGGCTGATGCTAGCTTCTCATGAGCTTGTCTGAGATCTTGGATTCGTGAGCAGATGTAGCTGTGGTATCCTTGGGAAGATCAGTGCCTGAGAAGTTGGATGGCAAAGTTTCCATCACAGGAAACGAAAGGGAGGGAGAGAATTTCTAGGGCGTAGACTGTAGAGGAGGAGGAGTTTTTGTACGTGGTCCTTCCCCCATTATTTTCTAACTCCATTAATTAAAATTGTATTTAGTGCTATATGTGATTTGAGACACAGCCGCAGAACGCACCTGCCCCTAAAAATATCATGCGCTCCTTGCAAGCATAAGAGAGACCGAAGTGTATTGACAGGACTATAACGGCTTTTTATCTACTTCAATCGATGGAATGTGTTTAGAGTGAGACTCAACTGGATTTCAATGTCTAGTCAAGAGGATCAACCAGATACAGGACAACTGATCTCAAAACTGGACACCTGACTACCCTACTTTTGAGCTTTAGCAATTTATTTCTACCGAGACTGCATGAAAAACAGAGCAGGGCCTAACAAACTTCACTTCCTATCCTGACAAATGCTGGATTAAGCTCAACCGCAGTTGTATATATTACTCAGATCTTGTGTAATTTTTTGACCTGCTACTTTTATATTTCTACTCATGTTGCCATTATTCTCAGAGGTAACAGTGCTTTTACATGAGCATGGGTTTATACTACTCTACCCACCTCTTGTATAGTAAGCAGAATCCAACAGTTATCGAGTCATTGACTGCACCATCACATAACTACCAGACTTTTAAGCTCACTTGGGGAAATATTTAGATTTGTTGGTGGAACATTCGGTGAGACTCTTTTTGTGCAGGCTGTTTTTAAAAGGTCATACAGTTAACAATGAGGCAACAAGTCAAAGGAGGTCTGTGAGGCAGTCAAGCATTAATTCTGGAACAGGTTGTGGATCCTTACCGATGATTTCCTGCTCTGCAGTGACAGGGCTGCTTTCGGACATGTTGCTCTGGTAAGGGTCAAACGTGGTGCCCGGTGTGTCTTTGGGAGGCCCCTGTCCGTCCGAGCCGCTTCTCCCAGGCTCCTCCTCCTGCGAGTGGTAGAACACGGAGCTGGCCGACTCATTGGAGCGCATCATGCTGTAGCGTCGCCGCTTGTCCTGGAAAAAGAGCAAACCATAGAACGGTGGTCACCAACCCTGCTCCTGAAGACTTTCCTGCTTGCAGACTCCAGCTCCAAATCTAATCGACCCCACCTGACCTGTCAGAAGTCTGATTAGCGAATGAGGTGTTAAATTGGGTGATACCTGCAGGAAGGTAAATCTCCAGGAGGAGGGCTGGTGACCACAGCACAGTTTTGAACAAGGAATAAAAACAACAAAACAAACAAAATGGAGTGAAAACTTTAGCTATTTTAAATTGGGTAGTTAATAATGATCTATTTTCCTCCCATTTAATTTTCATAGAATGAAAGTGATTAGGAATGAATATCGTTTAATTTTGGTTAATCTGAACAGTCTTTCAATATTTCTGTATTTTTTTATCATACTGTGAGTAGATTAAATAAACATCTCAATAACTTCACTGGTATATATGTATTCAGTAAACGTTTTACTGAAAAATAAATATGTTATTAACAAGTTTACCACATTGTAGCCTCTGTCTGCAGGCCCTCCAGAGACTATTCCACTGATGGAATGAAAACTGCCTCAGATATTTTTCTTTTAAAATAATAAAAATGAAATATTTTCCCCATATAAGGTAAACTATGACACTGTTGGCTCTGTGTGTGTGAAATGTGACTGTGCTGAGCTGCTAGCAAGCAAAGAGGGGTGAAAGGGAGGTTGTGAGAACCCTCTGCTGTGGAAACAATCACATCTCTGCACAAAAGTGGCTGTGCTGAGATAAAATGGTCAGCACAACATCAGCTTTCTTGGTGTCACAACAAAATAGCATTTAAATAAAAGGTTAACTTGTTTGCTCACCTACAAAGATGAAAATTCAGTTCACCTCTGGTTTTGTAAGTCAGACACATTTCCATCATACAGATATATTCCATCAATATTATCAACTGAGGGACCTCTAAAACAGATGGAAACAGCAGACTGTGAAATTGCATGTGACTGTGAAAAGGGGGTTAAAATAAAGATCACTCTCTGGAATTCTGTGAAAAATATGGCTCATTTTTGTTTTTCACTTTTGTTTTCAGTTAACTATTTCTAATCCCTGATTTTGAGGTTTCTTTTCTTTATTGACAGCTTCTTAAACAAAGCTGACGTCTTGGCATTTCGGAAATGTTAATGAAATATCCTGAAAAATGATTTGAATTAAATGTGGCAGATGATAAGTGTCAAGAGAAATGGCCTACTGATTGTTGAGGAAATGCAAAACAGATAGAGTGTGTTTGACGGTAAAACTAAGTGTTCTTGAAGCACCGGTGTTCAATCCCAGTGCTGGGATTTCAACTCACGAAGGGCCTGATAATTAGCTGATGAGCTGAATGTGTATTAGAGAACAGGAAACACTAAACGGTGCAGGTTCCCAGCTGTGGAACAACTTTCCTGTCAGTGTACAGTTTCAGAATCAATCACAGAGTTTGTGTCTGAGCTAAAAACCTAGGTCTTTAGTAAAGCTTTGGGTTAGCATTTTTAAAGGAGTCCAATTTATACAGTTTCCCCACTTCAGAAGTTGTACACTCTCAGAAATAAAAGTATGAAACTGTCACTGGGGCAGTGCCCCTCTTGTCACTGAGGTGGTACCCTCAAGGGTACATCTCAGTACCTTTAGTCAGGGAACATTATTGTACCATATTCCATTGAAATTATATTTTCTAAGTTGTATTGACTCCACACACACCCCCGTCTCGTCTCCAGCCTTTTTATTTTATTGTTCTGTTTTAAAACATTAGGTTATGAGATACAAATATGTACTTTTCACCCAGGAAAAACTTATCTAAGGTGCATTGTTGGACCTTAAAACCACTGTTGCAGAGGTTCGTCCATGATGAAATAAAACCTAACAATAAGACCAGTGAACATATCGACAACGCAAGACAAAGGGACTGAGCAAACACAGGGGTATAAATACACTGAGGGGAAACAAGAAAAACCTGGGACTAATGAGAAAGCGGGGCTACAGACAACAGGCAGGTGGAGCAAATGACAAGGAAGCAGGACCAGGGAAGAGACACAGACCAAAACAACAACAAAAGCACCTGGCACGAGAAGACAAAAGGCGCATGATAGAAGACATCAACAAAAGCACATGGCCCAGAAAAACAACAAAACAAAGACTGAAACAGAAAAAGACGAGGCAGTGCAAGACAGGTTACAAAAGCTTTTCTCAAAACTCTCAGGCATCCGGCAGCGTATCCGTAACTATTTCATTTAATTACGTTCTGTGAGTGAGCTTTTAGATGCATTGAGACTTCTGGTTCCTATCACCACCACTGTGAACAATTCTCACTCGGTATTTTTCTCTAGAACGGAGAATTTCACATGAAACCACTCTGAATGACTTTGTTTACATCTTAACCGTTTAGTTATGTAGAAATTTATGGAAAATTGATGGAATTTGGTAGAAACCAGTTTCTAACACTGTAAGACATACTATCTTGTATAAAAATGAACCGAAGTACAACACATAACACTGTTTTTATGGATAATAACATGTCATACACCATTTCTTATGTATTGTCCCAGCCACACTGACAATCTGAACTGTGTCTTTGTTGTAACTGTATGTTAGTTCCTGCTACTGCCTGGACCAGCCTCCTCCCCATCACTACAGGACTGCCTGATATGGCAAAAGTAGAGGTCTTGCTACGGTGCCCCTGCTGTCGTTCTTCCGGCTCTGTGGGCCAAACCTGTTGGCTGCTTATGGCCATTTACATATGCCACTCACCTGACATGGGCATGTCCCAATGCTCTGCTTCTGTACTGACATCTGTAGCTAATTACAGTCCTAATTAACTTTGCTCTACAGAACCAGTCAAATGATTGGACACACCTGACTATGTACGCTTTTCATGATCTTGAAGGCTTTCAGAATGCCTAAAAGTGTAAAATTTCCAAAATACTACTCAGACAAGAGAGGTGGGTGTAATTATTACCGATGTTTCTCAACAATTTTAGTCCCGTGCAAATCCACCATGCCAGTTTTTAGACTGCAAATGCCTGCATTGGATTCTGGTGACTTTTACCTGATATAAAACAAACAGTAGCAATAACTCCAGGTTATAATAAACCTGTTCAAACAATTACTTAGATTTCTTGAGGCCTGAATCAAGCCTAAATGTATTGTCCTACGTTCAGTGTGTGACTCTAGACATTAAAATACAGTCAGGTCCATAAATATTTGGACATCAACCAAGATTTGTTATTTTAGCTGTCTACTACAGCTTATTAGAGTTGAAATTTAATAGCATGCGCTCAAACTGTAGAATTTTAGCTTTAATTTGAGGGTATTTATATCCACATCAGGAGCACAGTGTAGAAATTACAACCATTTGCACACAACCCCTCAATTTTGGTGATGCACTGGTGAGCTCAGAAACACAAAAAGACCCAGAAAACCGCAAAAAATAACTGTGATGGTGGCAGACAAATTATTTCCCCAATGAAGAAAAACCCATTTACAACAGTTGGCCAGATCAAGAAGACCCTCCAGGGGGTAGATGTATCTGTGCCAACTCAACAATCAAGAAAAGACTTGTTCAGAGTAAAAACAGAGGGTTTACCACATGATGTAAACAAATAGTAAGCCTCAAAACAGGAAAAAAAACATCTGAAAGGCCTGGAACAACATCCCACAGACAAATATGACAAAGATCAACTTGTACCAAAATGATAAGAAAAAAGAGTATGAAGAAGGGAAAGAACTGCTCATGATCCAAAGCGCGTCATCTGTCATCACCGTCATCACGGTGGTTGGTGGATGTTTGGTAAAGAAAATTGTTCTATATAGAACCATAAACATTCAGTGAAGCCTTTGCATGATTAAAAGGTTCTTTGCATTGTGAAAGCGTTCTTCAGACTGATAATCTGCTGTAGATGAAAATGGTCCTATATAGCAACAAAAAGGTTCTTCTATTGTAACAAGCCTGACATCACAGCAGTAGAAGAACCCTTTGTTGCTCCCCAACAGTTATTTTCAGGAGCCATCAAGGCCTCCTCATATGTGGAAGTTCTTCAGTCCTGTTGGAAAAACATCTCAGGTCGTCATGAAGCAGCTTGAGAGAAAGATCAAGCAAAGCTGGGGGGCGGAGGTGGGGGGGTGGTTCCTAAAATAGAAGATAGCTCTGATTTCTTTAACACGGTTTGATCTCTGCGTAATTCCATATGAGTCATTACAAAGTTTTGATGTCTTTGATAATGTTCTATGTAAAAATAGTAATTCTTTATAAGCAGGTGTCTTTGGCCGCTACAGTAGCTGTACTACAACAGGAGCACCTCCTTAGGTTTCTGTATCATTGTACTGTTCTAGCACCTTCTTGTTATTGTCTTTTCTGCTTGCTTTGTGTGCCCTCATCTTGTTAGATTAAAGCCTTGTGTTCCTGTGTTCTGTCATGTTTGTCTCCACGTCCTTCATCCACACTGAGATGATTACCAGCCTCCAATAACTTCACCTGAAGCTCTGGCCTTCTGTAACCTTTCCTGGACGCTCCAGAGTCTGTAATCAATGTCTGTCTCACATCCCCCATGACCTTGTAATCTTTATGGTCCTAACAAGCCTCGTGGGCCTTTGGCTGCCTCAGGAATCTGCTTTTGGTTCTATATCAGCTGCCATGCTCTAATACCTCCAACATCCTGTGTATGTCCAGCACAGTCAGCGGTCCCTCTGGATGTAGCAGACTTTTAACATTGGTCACTGGCTTATTTCTGACCTTTCCCCTATATAATCCGATTACCTCTGTTTAAATCCCACTCATGCAACCTTAATCTGAGACTGTAACTTCACTATTGGGTGCTTGGACCTGGATTTCTGGAAAGCTGCTAAAAGACTATTATAAAAAATAATTTGATTAAATGTAATTAAGCAGTTCTGCCTCTGAGACTATGATTCATAAAATACCCTAAAGCAGTGGTCAGGAACTTTTACTCCTGGAGATCTACTGTCCTGCAGACTTTAGCTCCAACTCTAATTAACCTCACCTGATCTGTCTAATTATTGCCTTCAGAAGTCCATGATTAGCTGAATGAGGTGTGTTATACTTGAGTTGGAGGTGAAACCTGCAGGTAGGCAGATCTCCAGGAGAGTGACCACTGCATTAAAGATTTCTTAATGAGGGCCGTGGGGTCCTGGATGCAACCAAAGATGTTTCCAATTGCTCCTCAAAGTCTGAAAAACCCTGCCAACATAGCAGTGGTTATATTTTGAAGAGTCTGGAAGCTGTGGTTTGCGCTGAGGTGGTAAACTGCCTCATCTACACAATCATAAAGTTGCAGGTAGAGGTCAGGGGTTTGATTATTAATGCCCGCAGCCGTCCGCTTTCAACCACCAATCGTGCCCACCTGCGCATGCAAAATCTAGTGTCGTTCTTGCCCACGCCTAACTGCAAAACCTAGCGCCATTTTTGCCTGCACCTGCCTGCTTCAACTACACACCATGCCCACCAACACCCGCTCTCTTTGCCTACACTCTAAACCCTAAGTTAAGCTTATATTATAGGTAACTCATTAACTCAAATTAATTAAGCATTGGAACTTAATTTTTTAAGTTGTCTGAAATTATACATGGAGTTAAATACACTCAAACAAAGTATACATATGCACCACATAAACTATACTGTTGCAGAAACGTGAGCTTTTAAGTTTAAGTAACGACACCATCATTCATTTTTAAATTTGACTGAAATATCAACATAAACAATAAACAATATCAATCCAAACTATAAATTTGTTACAACCAAACTGACTGCTAAGCAACGACACAAAACATATTAGTTAGAATAACTAAAACATATAAAGTGCATCCAAACTTACACTTAACCTATATATAACATGTGAATATGTTTTAGAAGATCTAATAAACAGAATTCAACTAACTCGCCAAGAATGCTGGGTAACTCCACCCTGTACTCTCTCATTGCTTGTCTTTTTGAGATCGTAGTATTTGCTAAAATTAGTGAATTTTCCGAAAATCTGAAATCTGAATTTTCAACCCAATAATACAAAGTACTTGCCTGGATGAAGTGATAGCAACTAATTGCAAGAGAATAATTAATTATGATTTAATATACCAATAACATGAGGGCTTTTAGTGTATGCCTATTGTCCTCGTCCACTCCCGCCTGCATTTGTCGTAATTCACTATACTGGTGTAGGACATGTCCACACACCCTTCGCAACGCGGCAGAACAGCCTCCAGACCCATCATTCCTCCACGCACCCAGCACAAAAGTAACTTTTCTATATAACTATTTAAGTGGGCTTGACAAAGCAAACCTGCCGTTTTTGTGTTTAATTATTCTACAGGTTTTTGGTTCCATTTTCACGGGTCACAATTTTCAAGCTAGAACCATGAAACTTTGCAGGAATAGTGTGCTTGTGTTTCCATTTTTCCCCATCCACCTTACTTTTCACATCATCACTGTCTCCAGATTAACAGATACTGGTTTACACTTCTCTTTATAACTTGATATTCTGCCCTCAGTAAAGTAGGCTGAGCAGGTCAACAGAAAGCTAACTGGCTAACATGCTAACACTGCAATAATAAAGGAAGCAATTCAAGTTCAAGACTTTGAAGAAGGAGTTAGTTAAAAATGTCAAAGTAACAAATGTTACCTGCAAGTCTTTCACAAGCCTAAAACGTCTATTTAAAGTTTAGCTGACATCAAAATCCAATATAGCGCTGAGCTGTAGTTCTTGTTGTTTAAAAAACGTTTTAAAGATTTCTACATTACACATTGCTATGTAATGCCATTGCTTTATGGTTTTCTGCCTCTGAGTGTAAACACAATTAACCTCTTATGCTCCAGGGTATATTTTGGCTTGTCCATCTGAATTCACATGACCAAATCGTAAGGCAAATTATTCAGTATCTGCAAATTTTTATTTTATTTATTTATTTTTTTGTAAAAGCTCATCTCAAATGAACAGAACATGTGTTTTATGATTATACACATATCGCTGTATGCTTACAATTTACTGCTGAAAGCCAAAAATCTTAGACGCTCTTTGTACTTAATTTTTACAGGGCAGATCACTGAAGAGACGCCATCTGTTTATAGTTTATAGCCCAGATTTGTGGAAAAATGGGTCGACTTTCAGTAGACAAAGAAAAAATTGTGAGTTCAGCTTTTTTTATTATAAGGGTTTAAAATTACATTACGCATCTATTTGACTGGAAAGAAGACAGTTACAGCTTTCATATGACACCCACTTTTTGAATGCAGCTTATGAAATATGAAAGTTATGAAGAATATGACAAAGTGCATTTTGGAACCACCAGTGGCTAAGAGGCTACAAAGCTAGATCGACTTTATTAGGGTATGTAAATTGTGTAGGCTATAAATAGGGTTTTGGTTACTAAAAAGTTTCTCTTCAGGTTTCTTTCTACTAAAAGGTTCAGGTTTCAGCTGATGGATTGAATACAAACATCGGCATTCAAGCATCTAACTTTCTGACACTTCTAGCATTCAAATGAATATTTTTAATATTTTGACTTATTTCCCCATTTCTATCACATTAGGATGTTACATGTATTTAATGTGTTGTCTTTTTTTTGCTAAGCCAGAAGTTCTGAACATAAGTCAAAGCATCATGGGGTGCATAGCAACCACCTGGGATAGCACAGTAATGGCCTACCAACACTTTGCAACCGCCTGGGATACCATAGCAATGGCCTACCAACACCTGAGCAACCATGTGGGATACTAAAGCAATGGCCTATCAACACCTTAACAACCCCTGGATACCATAGCAACCTAGCAGCCTAGTAACTGCTTGTTTCAGCAAGCTATGAGTTAAAAATTAATATAAAATGACAAAATGACAACAAATGACTAAAGGTTAACAGCATACATCACCATTCAGAACTTTGTATTTGCTGCTCAAAAGCTTGGAATCAATGTTTACAATCATATAAAACCAATTTAGTTGCACAAAACTTTTTTGTTGTTCTTCTACCTATAGTGAATGCTTAAGGTGAGATCCAGGTGCACTTTTATTGCCCTCGGTTGGAGTGTACACTCTGTTCTGAGTGGTTTTATTGTGCTCTGTTGGAGTGTACTTACAGACTTGGGGTTGGGGTGGTAGCGGGTAGTGTCACACACCACGCTGTACCCAATCAGCCGGTCACCAGGGAACAGATAAGTCGTCCCCACTGGAGACAGTAACACCTCCTTCGTCTCAGGATAGAGCCATTCAATGGAGATGTCACTCAAAACAGGTGCCATGGATTTCTTCAAGCACTTAATCATCTGCAAGACCACAAACAAACAAATGGCTCAAATGGGGGTTTATACATCTTGTGTTTTCACACCAAGTGTACTACATATAATGAAGCTACACTACTGATATACTATATATACTATACTATACTATATATACTATATATATATATATACATGTCTGTGTGTGTTAAACTTAGCAATATGCACTTTAACAAATCAAGTAAATTTGTTAGCTATAGCCAAACAATATACTGTATATGCAACCAAACTGGTTTTACATTATAGAAAACAGTGACTGCAAACACCTAAATGGTAGTGTTGATGTACAATTAGCACTGACTCTTAGAGAGCAGAGGAAAAAGATCTGTGCTGTCTGGATTGACCATTTATTCTAATTTATGTTTTAACTAAGCAGAATGAAATGTTAATTGCTAATAGTTGTGGGGACTCCACAATTTATATCCAGGCTGTAATTGCACAGCAGTGACGTTCTGAATAGCCAGCTGTCACAGTGGAGGATAAACATGTCAGTGAGAATGAAAACCTTGGGCTGCAGTCTTTCTCCCTCTGCCAGGAACTCAGCGGTGCCTCTGGAAGCGGAGGAGAGACCCTCTATGAGCCGTCTGCACGCTCCCTGCCCTATTCCAAACGTGTAGCACCTGCAAAACATGCACATATACAGTAAACAGTAGCGGTGTAACTCTTACACCACCATCTCACAAAAATTACATTTGAATACTTCAGCAAACAATTATTTTAAAAAGGCATTAATTGAGATAGTAAGAAGTGAAACATATACAAAATCATCATTTATGGGGTATTTTCTATTGGGAAAATTGGGTCCCAAACCTTAATCCCTAAATTTGTGAAAATAATACTTACATTTTTTAAGGATTACATATAAAAATTCATTCAAAAAATGCTGTTCCACGTTTTCATGTCACTACCGAAACACAAAGAATTGTAGTCCATAGACAGAGCCTTATTTTAGCCACGCCCCTGCATTTTAGAGCAGGAAGTGAGGCTGCATAACTGTCCCTCATGGCCACATGGTAAAGTTAGAGCCCAATGTTTTGAGGTAAATGTGTCTCAAAGTCTAATCAGTGTGTAACATCAAGAATTGTCACTAACGAAACACATATTTTCTGCAATTAAGTAACCCTTTCTGTGTTTTAATGATTTTATGTGAGTACAGCTGTTCAAAGCTGTGTTTGCTAGTCATGTACAGGCTGGTGTTTTTGAATTTTGCCCAAAATTAGTCACTATCGAAACAGTCACTACTGAAACATTTGGTAAAGTTTTAGTAGTGGTGTGATAGTAATGTTAGTGATAAAATGGAATGTTCAGTCATTTCATTTAATAAAATAAACATAATTAAGGTATTAGGTCACTCAAAGTAAAAGGATTTTAGTCTAAAGTCAGTTAAAAGCTTGAAATGTGTGTTCAATTCTGACTTTGAACCATTTCAGTAGGATGATCCATATATACTGTACATTTGATGTTTTTAATCTATTCTAATATTGCAAAATGAATGCAGATCACTCTCAGTACAGCAGTAATACTGATATGGTGGCGGTTTGGCTTAGGCCGTTTTTGCACGTCAGTGTCACTGCTATGCTGAGAGTGGTCCACTACCCAAACAAGCCAACAACAAACTTGTGGTCATACACTGACAACTGACAAACGGATAGAGGATGGCCAACACAAATTGTGCATGAAAAAATATGTTTAACAGTAATATTCTAATAACAAAATGGATTTGCAAAGTACAGTCCTGTGCAAAGGTCAGAGGCCATCCCTTCATTTAATTTCCAGTCAAAAAGGTCATTAAGTACAAGTTATTCAAAAAGCAAAAAATATATATTTAACAAAAATTACACAAAAGCTCTAAAACAAAACATAATATTGTAATGTCCCGCTACTGGCTGGCGTGGCCACAGATACTCTGGAGGTGTGGCCATGCAGACAGCCACATGTGAAGGCTCATGGTAGGAGCGTGGGTTTAGGTTATGCGGATTGGTGGTCACTGTGAGAGTGAAGTGTACGGCAAGTGGTGACCTTTCACGTGAGTTCAGTTATATGTAGGTGCTTTTCTGCCCTTGTGGTTAATAAAGAGCACTTCTCATAGTGGATTCATGGCCTCTCCTGTGTCTTCCTCTATCCTGATACTACAATATCATTTTTTCAGTATTTATTGTACTCACGATTTACCTTTATTACAGCTTCCATTCTTTTCAGGAGACTTACTTCCAGTTTCTCAAAGAAATCTGCAGGGATATTTTTTCAAACTTCTAAAGTTCAGTCTTAGAAGTTGGTTGCATTTCCTGCTTCTCACGATCCAAGCAATCACAATTTCAAATTTAGACTAATCAGTCCATAAAACAGTTTAGTATTCTAGTACATATTTTTGTGGAGCTTGATTTTCTCCTCTCTCTCAAAGGTGACATCTTTAAGTACAGTTTATCTGATAGGGACAGTTTTGGTCTTCCAGGTTTTGCACAGTTGTTAGGACTCCCATTTTCTCTATATCTTTTAAGAATTATTTGAACTCCAGTTTTCTTCCTTATGTAAGTGGATCATCATATATCTCATCTACTCAAAATATCTCCTTTGTTCATTTTAGATGCTCTTGAGAAAGAAATTTGAAGGCAGCTGAGGTGAGCTTGGGTAGCTGCTTGTGTGGATATTAGTGTCTTTGAAGGGGAGCATGATGTCAGCGACTCCACTGGGAGCAGCAGGAGGACACAGCTGTAACTGCTTGATTTTAAGATTGGATGGATGCCTCTAAAAAAATGAATAACTTATTCTTTAATGGCTGTTTTGACTGAAAATTAAATAAAGAAAGAGTGGCACAGTGCTGCATATGTGTTTGTGGGTGAACAACAGCAAGATCAGGCCCAAATTGAAAACCTGATTAAAAAACAGAATCTCCCTGAGCTTCCTGATATCTCCCCGGACAATATCCGCTTCACTGCAGACTGTTGCTTTATCAATAGTGAAATTTGGCAAGTAGACCACTTTCATGAAGCCAAAAAAGATAATTAGTCATGTTTTCCCTCCATCACTACCCGTGCCAAGATAAAGAAGCCCTGACTTTTTTTTTTTAATCAGTAATCTCATTAGATTTGATGATGAAAATGTGGAGGCTTTGGACTGCTACCTCGGCCCTATCTGCTGCATCTGGGGTAGTTCATGCATACCAGATGAAGGCAAAGTGATTAAGGACTCAGCTCAACCTTTAGCATTGTCGCTAACATCCGCAGGACACATCAGAGCTGGAGATTCATTGCTGTTTGCTCAGTGTGCAGTTCCGCACACACTGGAAGTCTGGGCAGACTCTGCATGTTCCTAATGAAATCACTGACTGGCTTTCATCCTTTAAAAGGACAGAGCGTCCGATTTGCCTCCATCCAGCAGAGGAGAATTACTGACAAGAGGGCAGGTGTGGAAGGAGTGCTGATCATCTGAAAAGAGGAGTGCTACTGTAATGTTAATTGGTTGATTCAGTTGAATATAAGGACTAATCAAGAAGATTTCTCAAGCATGTGTAAACAAGTTTATTGGAAGAAAAAATACTCAGTTACTTTGAGTTAGTTTAGAGTCACCCTGTGATGAAAATTGGCCTTTTTCTCTTTGTTAGGACACCTTATCCAAAATAAAAGAAGCATAAACTTCAATACATCTTTTGCAAATGTGCCTATTTGCCTCCTACTGTGGTGCCAAAGTCTCCAGCGTGAGATGTTCTGGTTTAAAGACTAGACAAACTCCCTTCTGATGATGTATCTGGAAGGTGAGAGGAACCTTTGAAAAACTACCACAGCTTTGGGTTGGATGTTTGGAGGTGAGTTGTAATTTTTTAACAAAATTAGCGAGATAGCTACGGGACAATCTAGACATCTTACCTCAGTTTGGCTTCTTTTCTTAAAATGGTTTGGCTGAATATTGACTTCCAGTGTTTGTTAGCAATGTTAGCCTTGTAGCTTTGGGGTACATGGAAGATCATGTACTTTTTTTTGCCAAATTCTTAGACCACTGTAGTCATGCGTTGTTCTGTTCACTAAGCTACATGAAACTAAGGAGGGCTGTGGCTGTGCTCTGACGAGCTGAGCTGACTACCTTATCAAAATGTTCTACAGTAGCACATATTTACGGGTATACTCGTAAATAAAACCTCTAGGTGGAATATGTTGATAGGCTAAAACTCCTTATCAAAAATACTACCCGTGTTAAAACTACGAGGCTGAATTAAGCTTTTTTCGTAGCTTCTTGTCTGAATATTCCTGTTCCACCTTAAATGGTGCAGCAGCTGTGGCTAGCTAACACAAACATTAGCAAACGAGACAAAATACTGACCTGTCGGTTCTGTAAAACAGCAAAAATAAGTTAATGTTACTCGGCTGTGCAACGGAAATGGAGAAACCTCCTCATATCATGCCTTTCAACCCTCCATGAAGCTGAAGTCAGATTCTTTTTCGCCGGCTGCTTGTTCGAATTTCCCTGTTCCAGAACGTGACTGCTGCACCACTTAAGGTGGAACGGGAAAAGTCGCTGGCGAATGTCCTGAGAAAATGTCCTCAGAAAAATATTACCAGCATTAAAATAAAAATTATGATATTCTGAGAGCCTGAATCAGTTTATCAGGGGGTGATAACCTGCTTAAGGAGGCTGTCAGTCTAATGATGTGAATTCAGTGCGCAGTAGCTTTAGCTCACATGTAGCAATATTCATAATTCAACTCTTTAACGACCTCGTAATTCAAAGGATCCAGTGGTATTCGAGAGAAGAATGTTCACAGGACAAAACGTATCGGGTTCTGAACATTTTTATTTAACACAGGGGGCGATAGAGGCGATTTTTCGAAAACCCTATTTATTCTGGCTATAGAAAAATGGAGCTCAGACCCGGAGGTCCTAATATGGACATAAGAGCATGGTGCCAACTACAAAATGACGGCACGTCTACAGTGGTCAGTAAGGCATAACTGGCATAACTTTGAAACAGAACAGGACAGAATAGTTTAATACTTCATTAGAAATGAATTCAAGTAAAAATAAACCTATTATAATTTAATTGCACTCTCAAAAATCACTATTACATGTGAAAATGTACTCATGTACTGTAACATGAATAGTTAATTCACTGCTTTCCATCTCTGTAAGAAGGTGCAGGATTCATCATCTGTTAGTTCCACTCTCAATGATGAATAGTGCTCCATACTGAATAACACAAGATTATTTTAACCATCCTTTGTGAGCTGGACCATGATCTGATGTCGACTGTGTTGAACAAATAGCACCCTGTGTTATTTTGCTGCAATTCAGACATAAGTAATCTAGCCTAACCTTGCCTCTGAGAGCAGAAAAAGTGAGAAATAAAAAGAAAGGGCTCTGACTCCTGCTGTAATCTGATCTGACAGCGAGGAGATCAGTGGGTGACAAACTAACTTCCAGTAAGAGGTGTAAAAATCACAGCTCTGCAATATATCTTCACCTGCATGTGCAAGAAACATCTGTTTAGTTTGATCTGGAATGAACTACAGGCACAAACAATGCAGGTATGCATGCTATTACAATTCATATTAGATGAGTGCTCTCTCAAATGTGAGGAATATAGACGGGATCTACTGAATTAGTTCGGTTTCACAGTGAGAAAAGTATTTAGAAGAAACATGTAATTTTATGATCTATTTAAACTCAAGGCATTAATTGAGATAGTAATACGCTAAATATAATCAATTTATCACATCATTCACATCATTCACATCATTTATAGGGTACTTTTTATTGGGAGGTGTCTGTCCCAAACCCTAACCTCTAAATTTCAACTTGTGAAAATAATACTTACTTTTTTGTATTTATAATTTTATTTAAATATTTTTGTCTTTCCTAAAGATCTTTATAATTTCTTTTAAAGTGAACTTGAAAGACCTAGATTTATTATGAGTTAAATTTACATAAAAAGCTTCATTTAAAAATGCTTTTCCACATTTATCTTGTTATCTCAAGATAACAAAATTACCTTGAAATAACAAGGTACTTTTCTGGTTATCTTGAGGCAACAAAAGTTGTTATCTTAAGATAATGAGTTATTTTTCTTGTTATCTCAACATAACAAAATAATTATCTTGAAATAACGAGTGACTTGTCTTGTTACCTCAAAATAACAACATTGTTATCTTGAAATAATGAGCTACTTCTCTTATTATTTAAAGATAACAAAATTGTTATCTTGAAATAATGAGTTACGTATCTTGTTATCTCAGAAAATTCCAGAAAATGTTCCTCGTGGCCTCATGGTGAGCAGGTAGATCCCATAGGTTTGAAGTAAATGTGTCCCAAAGTCTAAAAATCAGTGTGTAACATTAAGACTTGTCACCACCAAAACATATATATTTTCCAATTGAGTAATTTTTTGTGTTTTAATGAAAAATATTATGATTTTATGTTGTACAACTATTTAAAGCTGTGTTTGCTAGTCATGTGCTGGCTAGCATTTGAGCTCTGCTAAAATTGTCATCACCAAAACAGTCACTACAGAAACATTTGGTAAAGCTTTGAAGGTGTTATTTTTGTATTAGTTGTGATAAAATGGAATGTTCAGTCATTCATTTTAGTAAAATAAACATAATTAAGGTATGAGGTCACTCATAACAAAAGGATTTTAGTTAAAAGTCCAAGTCAGTTAAAAGTCTGAAATGTATTTTCAACTCTGAACCAACAGCATGTACAGCCCTCATATAATCTGCCAAAAGAAGATATCCATGTAGGGGGCCCACCAAACATTTGTACCCAGGGGCTGATAACTTCATCATCCAGGCCTGCGTATCAGTCAGAAAAGCAACTATTTAACCAAAACAACTAACATATCTCCTGATATTGTGGACTAAAATTGATACTGTTGACAAATCTTCTACATCCGCTGAGCCCTCACACTCCTTTTTTAATTAACATTCTACATCAAAGTCAATATGTTCACTGCTATGACCACACAGTCAGGGACTTCATACCTGGAGAATCGAGCGTGACTGCGGACAAGTTCGATGACCTTCCCTGTGTTACTGACCGCTCCATCGGTCAGTAGAAAGAGCAGGCGAGGATGACCGCGCTGCACAGGCTGCCTCAGGATCCAGTTCAGTGGAGCCAGAAGGTTGGTGCCGCCCATGTCGGCCCGGATCTTCCTCATATATTCACAAGCCGCAGCTAAGCTTTCCTATAAAGGAAGTGAGGAGCAGCTAGCATGAACTAATTTGCGTAATGCTACATGGGCCTAATGTTCATTAATTACGAAAGGCATTAGCATTTCTGAGCGTATTTCAGCAGCGTAACTCAGACTTGAGGTCAAATCCATCAATTTAGAATCAGAAAATGTGAGTTCATGAGGTTAATTGAGTTAGTTAATTACTTAAAGTGATGGTTCAGGCCTCAAGATTGTTGCTAGTACTGATTTTAGCTATGCTAATGTACTTTTGTCCATTGTTGTAGATAACAGCATGTCATGCAGTGTCAGAAACCACATGAGTAAGTCTATTTGAGATTACGTAACAACTGCACACAGTTTGAGGCAGGCGTGTGATGATTTAGGCTGCAGTTTGCACAATGCTGAATGGTACACCGATCAGGCATAACATTATGACCACCTCCTTGTTTCTACGCTCATTGTCCATTTTATCAGCTCCACTTACTATATAGGTGCACTTTGTAGTTCTTCAATTACAGACTGTAGTCCATCTGTTTCTCTGCATACTTTGTTAGCCCCCTTTTACCCTGTTCTTCAGTGGTCAGGACCCCCATGGACCCTCACAGAGCATGTACTAATTGGGTGGTGGATCATTCTCAGCACTGCAGTAACACTGACGTGGTGGTGGTGTGTTAGTGTGTGTTGTGCTGGTACGAGTGGATCAGACACAGCAGTGCTGCTGGAGTTTTTAAACACTGTGTCCACTCACTGTTCACTCTATTAGACACTCCTACCTTGTCAGTCCACCTTGTACATGTAAAGTCAGAGACGATAGCTCATGTGCTGCTGTAGTGCTCTAGTCCTTCATCAGTGGTCACTGCTGTGTCTGATCCACTCAACACACAACACACACTAACACACCACCACCACCATATCAGTGTTACTGCAGTGCTGAGAATGATCCACCACCCAAATAGTACCTGCTCTGTGAGGGTCCCTGGGGGTCCTGACCACTGAAGAACAGGGTAAAAGGGGGCTAACAAAGTATGCAGAGAAACAGATGGACTACAGTCTGTAATTGAAGAACTACAAAGTGCACCTATATAGTAAGTGGAGCTGATAAAATGGACAATGAGCATAGAAACAAGGAGGTGGTCATAATGTTATGCCTGATCTGTGTATGTTTCCATTCATTGTTAGCTACATTAGCACTGTAGCAGCAGTTGCAAAACTAAAGAAGCAAAATCCAGACACCAACCATGTTTTGGCTGATCGATTACATTTGTAAAGTGTATTTTTGTCCAAACTATGAGAAATCTGCTCAGAAATACAGGTCAATAATGAACCAGTGAAGCTTGTCTTTATAGCTTGATTTGAAAGTACTAAAATGTATTTGGCCTTAAACATAATGTGAGTGTGAATTTGTAAAGCCTCTCTGTGCTGTTCTTTAGCACTGATGAAAACACTTCTGCTAATGAAAGCAGACCTGTTCTTATTCTGCTTGAGTATATGAGTCACTTCAGAAAAGGTAATGGCCAAATAACAGGTTTCAGCGTGAAACGTTATCTGAAACCACATTACAGGGACTTAAGCGAACAATTATACAGCCAATTTAAGTTCTCTGAATAAGTTTTGATGTTACATTCGATCAGGAATTTAACCCTGACCAATCAGCATTAAAGAGATACTTCACTTAACATGCCAATATTGTTAATAATGAATCAAAGGGAGTGAAGAGCAGCTAGCATGAACTAACTTGTATAATGCTACATGGGACTTCCTTTTTATTAACATTTTTTATGGAGGTTTTCCATTTTTGCCTTTATCTTATTTCTATCCTTACAGTATCCTACAAAGACCTAGAAACATTAAACATAAAATGGTACAGAAAACAAACATACAGTGAAAAAGTCAGAGACCATCCTTTGATTGATTTAATTTCCGGTCCAAATTGCCATTAAAAAGTTATTCACTTTCAATGGCATGAAAAAAGCAGAAAACACGTATTTGATAGAAAATTACACAGAAGCCTCAACAACGACATACACTTTTTTCAGTATTTAATGTGTCCACCCTTCCAGTCTTTTCACTTTCAGTTTTTCAAAGAAATCTGCAGGGATATTTTTCCACACCTCCAAAGTTCAGCCTTCGAAGTTGGTCGCATTTTCTGCTTAAGAAAGGAATTTCTAGAAGTTGTGTTTGGGTACTTGATTGTGTAAATGATAGATTTAAAATTATATTCAGTTCTTGAGGCTTCAGTGTAATTTGCTGTTAATTATATGTTTCTCATTTTTGACACTGAAAACTTGTAAACAACCTGTATGTAATGGCTATTTTTACTGTAATAAACTAAAGGGTGGTCTGACTTCTGCACAGTACTGTATATACATTGTAATGATGAATATACTTATAATTATGCTACATAAAATAAAATATGACCAACTGGCTATACAGCACTGAGGGAAGGTGTTATTTAGTAAACTATGCATATAATATAAATTACATCAAATGACATGTTTTGTTGATTTTCTAAGTGAAAATAAGTTACATATCCTCTACAGAGAACACACTTCTGCACATTTCAATGCAGAATTACTGTTTATTTGCTGAATTTAACATACTGGAAAAAAATTAGACATAAAATGTGGCCTGTACAAAAGTTATCACACATTTTCTATTGTGTATTTTTTTTTATTTCCAATAAAATTCTGTGAATAAATAGAAATTGTGCACTAAAAATGATATAAAATGACCATAATTAACTTCCTGTTAGATGATGTGTTGTCTTAAGCTCAATTAAAAAATCAACAAAACATTTCATTTGAACAAATGTTTGCATACGACTATAAAAAATGTAAACTATATTGCCTCAATAGAAATTACTGCCAAACACCATTAGAGTGACAAACTGAGAACAGGACAGGTCGGGGTGAATCGACTGCACTGTTGTGGCTCCTGGTGGGCGCTGTACCTCGTCATAGCTCTGGCTGGTTGCAAACAGTGTTTTGAACGTCGAGCCGAAGCCAATAATATTGAACAGGCAGGCGGGGAAGAGGCTTTTCAGAATCACCACCATGGCATCCTGGCAACACAGCAAAGAAATACAAGAGAATGAGGGAACAGCAGAGAGAGGAAGAAGTAAAAGCTGAATGGAGAGGGTACAAAAGGAGGCTGGAGGAGGACAGAGCAGAAGAGGACAGAGGAGGTCCTAAGAAAAGGTCAAACTAGAGCCCCTCTTTATACTGTCATACAAAAGAAAAAACATTCACCATTCATTTTATTAGAAACACACACCTTTTTCTTTCACTAACTGGCCACTACAAATTATGAGTTGTATGACTGTTTCAGGAATAGCAGATGGTCAAAAGTTGTGCATCAGTCACCAACAAAGAGGAGCTATAAGGTAGGGGGTTCTAGTATAGATGGCATTCGATATCAGGTATTGGTTTCAAGGATGATCTAGTTTGAACCAGGGGCATAGCAATGAAGGGGCATGGGGGGCCTAGGCCAACACACTTGTAAGCCAGGCTCTCTCAGATTTCTGACTGGTTAAAAAAGAAAGTCCTCCAATGTAAGGTCATCATGGGCGAAGGGGCTGTTTTGCTTGCATTCTCATGACTTTTTTTTACACTATTAATAAAAGAGACTAATAAAGCTCTTCTTACATCATCACATTTCCCAAACTGCTGCCTCTCATGCAAAAAGGCAAAGGCACTCGGATTATGGTAATGAGTTGGTAATTTTATAACAATTAAGCTATAATGAAGTAGGCAAGCTCATGGTCATCATCCTCACTGCAGCAATGTTGACCTAAATCACCAAAGTTTCTTCAAGGAATGACTTGAGATTGGTTTCACTTGGTTGTCACCAGCTCGATCCAGTGGCATAGCCAGAATTTCTATGGGGCACCAGCTAACAAGCGTTCATGTTGCGTATTTTGATTTCTTACCTTACCAAGTCCAAAAGTTTATTGTGTATAAAATTTGGTAGATTTCGTCTATTCAGACCCTACACCTGTTATACATAGCGGCCATTTTGCTGATCATTTGTGTTCTAGTAGCTCCAAAAAGGCACGTAGTGCTTGGACCCCGTTGATTGCGATTTGCAATGTAATTTATAGATGGTCACTAAGCTGTCATAGCTGTTACGACAGTCCCATAGAAATCAATTTCAGACAAAAACAAAGTGAAAGCTGATTGTTTTTGTTGCAGTGTTAATTCACACATATTAACCTTTTTTGCCAACTGTTATTAAAGAAAGAAGCTCAAACATGAGAAAGTGAAACCAACTTTGCTGCTCATGAAACATGGTTCTCGCCCAAAACCACATACATATATAGGGCACGATATGGATTTCATGGGCTCCACTCGTTTCGCTGTGGAACGTTTTTTTTTTTATCGAATTGAAAATTTTCAACTTTGGAAAGGCTCCGCTCGTCATGTGTTATTTTTCACAAGGTAACCAATCCAAAAAAAGGGCGGATCAAATTGAACCAGAGAGTGAACGCTGGGCAGTAAGACATTTTTGCTCACATTTAATATTCAAAAAATATTCAGCTCAAAGACAAATATTAACTCCAGCCTTTTTCTGATGGACGTATTGTGTTATTGTGTATATTGCAGGGGTGCACAACTCCAGTCCTGCAGGGCCTGTGTCCAGCAGAGTTTGCTCATTTACATGCTCAAACACACCGGATTAGACTTGTGTGTTAATTGTCAGGTTTAGTGGGTGTGTTTGAGCAGAGAAATCTCCAAATTGTGCTGGACACTGGCCTTCCAGGACTGGAGTTGTGCCCCCCTGGTATATTGCAATATCTGGTATCTAATTTTGGACATTACTGCGACAAATTCAATTGTCTTTTTGGCTTTCTACCCACAGTAAGAAGGATCTACTCTCAGAATAAGTGATTTTGGTTGCAGCGTTGGGTGCTAGACAAAAAAAAAGACAGACTATAGTGAAATTTGATGGGATATTTAAATTTCTATGTGTATAAATACTTGAAATGGTTGTTTTTCTTTAGTTTGTGAAAACAAAATGTTTGTTTTCTTTACAAAGGCAAAAAGGATATTTTAATGTAGAGAATAGATTTTGCCTTGAATTTTCTTAATAAAGTATTAAATTAATGCTTTCTTTATATTGTTTAGTCTGTAAATGTAGCAAATCACACACATAATGAAACTGTTTTTCTGTGAAAGTGAATTTCTAAAAGTGAACCTGTCTCAGACCTTTTCCACCTCCCTCCATCCCTGCCCATCCAGAGGGATAAACCTGGACGTCTGACATTTCTTTGGGGATGAAGTTATCTCCAAGGTCAGGCGTGTTTGTGGGGTGGGATGGGGGGGGTTGTTGGGTATCATTCTCATTAGGCTGACCTGCTCCTTTAAGGCAGGCTACTATGGTGGCAGTGCAGGAGCATCCTCAATCAAACCCAGAGTGAGTCATCGCTGCCTCCTGCGTCACGCGCCTGGCTTCAGCAAGCAGCACACACTCCGCAGCGTGTTTAACATTTGCTCCCAAACACTCACACACCCATCACCGCAACCAAAATCACTCATGCAGCCAGCGGCGTGCAGACCTCTTCAGCATCCCATGTTTCAATAAGTGGTGTCTGGTGTCTGCAGGACTTTATCGACCTGATTGTGGCTCAGTATCTCAGTACAGCCAAGCAACATGTCAATAGCATGCATTTTACTTACGAACTATGCTTTACATTAGCTGTTGAGGCATAGAATAAAAAAGGATTTAAAAGTTTTTGTGTAACAGTATTAGGGATGCATTGATACCGATAGTGGTATTGGGTATCGCCATGATACCATGCTCATTTACTTGTATTTAAAATGCACCAATACAAATATCTGATTCATCAGGTAGCTCTAAACAAATGACTCAAACTGGCATTGAACGAGGGTCTGCTTTCACAGCAAAGCGTAGCCGACGCTGTAGCAGTTGAACGCCAAATCGTTGGCCACTTTAAACATTTTACCAGGCATACAGGGCGCGATTTTAATCCGTTCCGTTCCACCAATACAAGTGGACACACATAGGTTAACAAAACTGAGGCAAAAAGTTCTTGCAGCACGAGAGTTTACTTTACTCTGTTTGACTGAGTAGAATTGCGAGGTATAAATGATAATAAGTTGATTTTTTTATATTGTCTTTGTAAAGTAGGCTGTGGATAGGTCATATTGTCCTATTGTGTACACCACTGCCTGCTTTTAGTTTCAGTGAATAGTCTGACACAAGTTAGCAACGCTGCTGTATCACAGTTTCTCAGCATGTTTGCTCAGTACTCAGGCGGATGTGGCTTTTGAATTAAGCAGTTTTATTGATAACTGTCCATAGACAGAGCTGTCTGTAGGGGCTGCGTTTCACATAGCATGTCAGTCTGACCAAGCGTCTTTGTACAGTGTGAGTATAAAATCGTAGGCTTTGTCCATACAAGACGGTCAATTCAAACGTGCAGTGTGAGTGACCAAAAAAAGGTGAAGGTTCTAAAACAAAAGCTTGCTAAAATTCACACAGTGTATGCCTGACTTTAGAGGACATTCAATTACAGCTCAAACAACCAGCCAAAAAGACTCCAACAAGACGTAAAACTTGATAAGTGGATGCTTTAGCCTCGGATGTGATTCCTACTTTCACTGTGCTACAGAGACTGTTGTCGAAAGAGACAGATGAGGAGCGGAGATCAAAACTACGAAATGTACTTTACTTACAGCTGAACAGAAGCACTTTTCTGATGTGCAACAAAACTGTTCTTGTGCACTGCAACACTACTTGATATAAGGCAACAAATGTAGCATAGCTAGCTAATGCACTTCATTTAAAATCAGCTGGATTTTAGTACTTTTACTGTTAAGGTACATTGCACTTATTTACACCAACAACTACTTAATTGTAAGTAACCCTGTGTTACTCATTATGACTTAAACATGTACATGTACTAGTACTCTGTCTGAAAAAAATGGTATTGATGCATCCCTAAAAATTATAGAATTTACTGGCAGTCATTTCTACAGTAATTTAGAGTGCTCATATTGTACTTTTGTCCATTTTCATAGATAATAGGTTGTCATACAGTGTCAGACACTGCATAGGTAAGTCTATTTGAGATGTCTTAACAACTTAACACTGTTTGAGGTGAATGATGATTTAGGCATGCATTTTGTACAATGCTAATTGTACATAAGGTTCCATTACTTGTTAGCTAAGTTAAACTCAGACACCAAACATCTCTCATCAGTCTGACTACATTTGGTGTACAGTGTGAATGTCATTTTTTGCCAGACTTTTCACTTAACAGGAGTTTATCCTCATAAGTATGATGACTCATTTATTATTGTGTCTTTAACAAAGAACCAAGCATGCCTTCAAAGTGACTTTATTTCTACATTACAAACAAAAAGACTGCTGCATTTCCATTTCTCTCGTATCAAGACTCTTTCATCTCCTACCTACTGCTTTTTTCCCCACTTACATTTCAATACAACTCTTACATCTTCTTACATCACTTGTGAGAACACATTTGCATGTTGCATGTGCTCTCACTGGCATTCTTCATTAGTTTCAGTATCTGTATCTATCTACGCTGTTTAAACATCATATAAGTCTTATTAAAATGCTAAACAGGTTCAGTTTTTTTCAGTTTGATTATGGTGGGGAAAGGTCATTATTCCTATAAAGGTATATACCCTGCTAATAAAACCTGCATGGCTGGTCACCAGCAAAAAACAGCATATGTTACGTTTCAGAACCCACCCACCAGAAGTTAAACTAGCTGTAAATTTGATTTATTCAATCGCATACATACTTTACAAAACTCTTTTAAAAAAATCAAAAACTCCAAAAAAGTAAACAACCATTGTGATTTTATGTGTCAGCGTGATTGCTTAACCATTTCCAGATGTGTCCTCAAGGGAAGCCCATATTTACAGTTACCATCCAATACCTAGACTGAATTTCAAATGGCTCCCTACTCCCTATGGGAGCCATAGGTCTTAAAATAATAGCTCTCAAACCCTAACAGTGCATAATATGTCTAATAAATAGCCACACAATTCATATTTCATATAGTCCACTATATAGGGAGCAGGGAGCCACTTGAGATTTAGTCCTAGTTTGTCTAATCAGTCCTTCGTTAAATTAAATCAGTTGTGCTACTGATGGACTAATCCATGCAATGAGTGGAGTGCAGTAAAGTCAGGACCCAAATCTATGTTCTTCAAGCAGCATCATTCTAGCCTACATAGACATAACTGGACTGGCAAAAACACTCTTACTGCAAAGATGAATTGTTTTGAATGATTCTCACAGCTGCCTGAAGCACATAAAATAATATACTTTTAGAAGTAAACTTGCGAGAAAAGAATCTAGTCTCTTCGTAAATCTGCTCTGCAGGTTTTACACAGTGAAACTTTCATGCAACTTGCCTGCAACCTAATTTCCATGTGTAATTTGACAGTCCCACGCTACACATTCGTTCACTCCACTAGTTAGCCAAATAAAACAGATTTTAGTCATCTGCGGTGGGGAATCAATCTATATATGAATATTACGTTGCATTTTTATTGTCTTTGCATGATTTTCCCAGCTGTCATTGTCGTTGTTTGAAATGGCTGTGTCAGAAACCAGGAAGAGAGCTTTCACAGCGCTACTACTTGTAAACATGCCTGACGAAGAAAACAGAGTATGAGTGAAAGGCTGACTACTGAAAAGAGAGAAACAAGTTTAAACAGCTTGTACTGATAGCCGGCTAGTTTTCCCAGCTGGTTACAGAAATGCTAGCTTCAAGAAACACTCATTTGTTTCTTGTTAGCCCTTACTTAACTGACAAAATAAAACTACTAACCTTACATAAGGAGGCAGTTAGGAGTATCTACTTTTCAAGTGTCCAAAAGATGCATTATCTGTGTTTTGATTGGCTGTTTTGTGAAACTTGTTTCACAAAGCTGACATGCTTTACATTATGTAATTCAGGTGCAATTTAGTTTCATGTAGATTTCAAGCAACTAAAGGTTTCACTGTGTAATCCCAGCCTAAGACTCATATCTGAGAGAGCAACATCCAGTGGCTGGTGCTGGCATGACAACACGTACTGGGCATTAGCCTATTAGCTGTTGCTGAGCCACTGTTGTATTTCTTTACCCTAATTTTGTAGCACTGCAGAAAAAGAAACTGTAACTGTGACACACACTACCACGCGGCTAACATGCTGGAGTTATTGCTGTGCTGAGAATCATCCACGACATATCATATCATATCATATCATATCATATTGAGTCAGCAGTGGTCCTATGGTGGCCCCTTTCTGCTAATAGAGGGTGGGTGATAAATTTTGCAGCAACAGATGGGGTACAGTCAGTAATAAACCTATAAAGAGCACCTATATTGTAGCTGTTTCTGATAAAATGGCCAATGTGTTTGAAAAATATTGAAATTAAATTTGGTACTGCTCACCGCTACGTCCTCAAACCTTCATATTACACCAGTCCCACAAACGACAAAGTCTGAAATGCACAGTGTTCGAAAGTCCTCACCTTAACCCGGCTAATGTTGACCCCACTCATGCTCCCGCTGCGGTCAATGAGGAAGATAAACTCTCCCTGGACTCTCCGCAGGTCAGATGTCATGGACTGCAGGTCCGGGCAGAAGTTCAGCATGACCACAGGGTTGTGGAGGATGTCCTTGTGGAGCCTCTTATGGATGATATCCACCTACACAGGAAACATGATGACCAATAGATAGATTTAGAGATGACCCTTGCCTTCTAGTAGCTGAAGCAGTGCTTAGCATGCATCCTGTTATACTGCTAGCATCTCTAAAATGCTAAAATGCCTTTTTTAATTCAAAGCAATTCTTGGGTTTATGTTTCTCATTGTTTAACAATGTGGTCCTAATTTTTTGAGTGCAAAAGAATGCCATAAGATTCACTTAAAAAAGGACCAGCCTATTAAATAATTCAATTCCTCCGAGCGCACAAAGTAGCAATTACCCTTTCAAGAGATTACGTTCTTTGTCAGTAAATTACATTTACGTGTTTATGTCTTCCAATGCTGCTGGAACCGGCGATATGAAATCCAGTTAAATGAATGTGCACAGGGTTAGCTATACTCCATTATTAATGGATCTCATATCCCAGCAAATTAGCACTCACTGTTACTCGCTCTCTCTAAAATTAAAATCTTTTGTGGTGATCTTTTTTTTTTCAAACTTTAATTGTTGGTGCAAACATGTCAGAAGAATAAAAAAGGTGCTTAAGCCCTCTTCTACCTCTCTGTAGGTAGAAACACCTAGACCACTCCACCGAAGACCTTGGGTGGTTTCCATAGAAACCCCTTTTCATTGCCCATCATTTTTGCAGCCGAATGTTCTCGGCCTCCTGTTGAGGAATAACGGTCACTTGAGGATCTAATTGCAACCTGCTTTTGTGCGAGTCTGGCAAGGAAAATACATCTACTCATACTTCTCTGTGAAATACATACGGTTTTTCAGATAAAATTGCAGAAAAGTGGGCCATAACTGGCAAACTTCATGAACGTTTCTCAAATTCATTCAGTTATAATATATTCTAACGTTAATTTTCTTAACAATGTAAGAAAAGGAAGTATGTTTTTTATATATTTTATATATTCATAATATATACATACTATATGGCCACTAGTGTGTGGACACCTGACCATCATACCTATATCAGCTTGACATCCCATTCCAAGACAATGGGTGTTAATATGGAGTTGGCCCCACCTTTGTGGCTATAACAGCCTCTGCTCTTCTAGGAAGGCATTCCACGAGGTTTTAGAGTGTGGGAATTTGTGCCCCTTCAGTCAAAAGAGCATTTCTAAGGTCAAGCACTGATGTTGGATGAGAAGGCCTGGCTCACAATCGATATTCCAGCTCATCCAAAAGGTGTTCAGTGGGGTTGAGGTCAGTGTTCTGTGCAGGACACTGGAGTTTCTCCATACCAAACTCATCATGTCTTTATGAACCTAACTTTGTTTACAGGGGCACAGTAATGCTGGAACAGGAAAAGGCTTTCCCCAAACTGTTGGCCCAAAGTTGGAAGCATACGCTTGTCTTAAATGTCTTTGTATGTTGTGGTCCAGAGTCCAGTAATGTCGTGCTTTACACCACTCCAGCCAAAGCCTTCATTGTGCATAGTGATCTCAGGTGTGTGAGCAGCTGCACTGTTCTTGTGCTGATGTTCCTTCTAGAAGCAGTTTGAAACTCTGTAGTGACTGATGAAACAGAAGATTTTTATGTGCTAGCACTCTGAGCATTCGTTCCATGGCTGTGCTGTTGTTGCTCCCAAATCCTTCTCAATAATAGCACTTACAGTTGACTGGGGCAGATCTAGCAGGGCAGAATCTATCCAAAAGTAAGGAAACTTTTGGTCAGTGAAGAAATTATACTTTATTTTGCCTTCAAATTTCTTGCTGACGGATGTTCTCTTTATATTCTTTGTAGAATATATTTTATGTTTAAAATTCTTGCCAATTACGCAAGTTTCCTTTCCACTATTTAATTTTTGAAGATATGATTCACATTTCCTTAGCAAAGCAAACATATTTATATATCTGCCATAATTTCCACAGTCTGCACTTCAGTGAAGCTGCAGAAAGTAGGTTCTAACGGGCAAACGATATGAAAGAACAATGCTGTGCTTGGTCTCTGTTCCTTTCAGAGTAGTGCTCTATTGGTTCATTATTCAACTCTCTTGAGTAATGAACTCATCAGATAAGCTACTAATTATCAGCCCATTATCAGCATACTACATCAAATAATCATCAGCTCATTATAGACATTAGGTTTGTTGCTTATTTCACTGCTATAAGTCATTTGTCAGCTTCACACATTCAGACTAGAGCTCTAAAGCCTAAGGTCCTATCCTGACCACCTGTGTCTCCATAACTCATTACTGCAGTTGCTGGACATAATGAATAGTTTGCCTCTTTCACCCCTTCCTCATCCTTTCTCTGTCCCCATCCTCTCTCTCTCTTACTTTCTTTTCATTGCTGGAGTCCTTCTTGGTGGCCTTTATGTAGTCACTCCTCCCCTTCAGATGTTCGTCATACTCCTCCAGTGTCATGTCCCCATCCTCAATCAGGACATGGGGCAGGTGCGGCTCTAGAGACAGCAAACAGGAAACTGGACTTCAGAGCAATGTCAGTATCTCTCATTAAACCGTGTACTCAACGGATCAACGTGATATATTAGCCAAAAATCTGATTTACACAATCCTCTTACTCAAATATAAAGGTCAAGACATGTTTGGTGTCTTAAGTTTTCACTAGAGCTTTGAGGCTAATGTAGCTAACTAATAATGGAAGCTTATGGCTATTAATTAGTTGTACAAACTGCAGGCCTAAACATTATGTCAATGTGATTGTTGGTGAAATTCTTGCTTTAAGAAATTATTACTTAAATGAAACCTAAAGTTGTAGCACCAATACCATAAGGGAAAATAGGTACTTTTACACTTCAAGAACTGCCGTCTTAAAGTGGAATTCATTTGCCTTTGAAAAATCCATTTATAGCCTGTTCAAATACTGGGCTGACTCCTGTTTCGCTTCAAACGATCAATGAGGATAAAACCAAGACCAAGCATCCCAACATGTTTCTACAATCCTGGTAAGTGTACACAGTTCTCACTGAGCACTCAGGAACACTCAGTTTAAAACAATTTTTTAAAGCGTACTAACTAATATATTTGAGTGTTTTATATTTAAATGATTTTATTTGATTTGTTGCTGTAGTGATAACACATAAAAGCTGAAGTCTAAACAGCTGAGATTTCCTGCTGCGTTATTACTGCCGCTTCCCAAACCAAGGCTGCCAACTCTCACGTACTGGCTGTGAGACTCACACATTTTGTTGTAATGTCACTATCTCATGCCACACTTGATATCTCCCACGGATTTTTTTATCTCTCTGCATTTTCACCGCATGGCACCGGTTCAGCTCAACTATGCTTGCCTTTTTTTGTTTTCCATTAGGGAAATCTAGCACCTGGTTCTATTTTTGGTATACCTCTGTTGAGGTTACAGGCACGCTGAGCTGATATCAAATGGTGTCATAAAAACGTTGAAGACTACTGATTGGTCGGAGAGAAACGCTAAATACAGGTTAGCGTACCCTCTTGCGTCGCCTTTGAGGATCATCTCGTCATGTGAACTCTGATGTAGTATTTCCCAAACTCTACTGTTTTTTCCAGCAGTATTTTGGCTTGTTGCCATCAGCCTCCTTTGAACAGAAGGAGGGCAGTTTCATGTGGCATCACTATGATGACTAGCTGCATTGAGGTGGATATCTTACTAAATCTGCAGTGGAAAACCTACTGAGCCCCGCTGGTGACATTCCATATAAATAAAAATAATGCATGGCTGTGACTTAGTAAGGCATGGAAACAAGATAGGCATGGGAATGAGATAATTAAGCCTTTGCCACAGCTTAATAAGGCATGATCTCATTCCAACATTTTACTAAGTCTTGGCCACGCGTTAGGATGCTGGCTACACCTTATTTTTATTTGTATAGGATGCCACCAGCAGTGCTCTGTAGAAAATTATGTAGCTGGTACCAAAAGTGAGTAGAGTCGAGTAGAGTCGAGTCGCACCATGCAGTGGAAAAGTGGTTAAAATGACCTTCCGATGGTTCTGAATGCTCATAAAGTCTCTCACTACTCCAGCTCTACTGATTAAAAACACTCTGGATGGGCAAGGGTCAAAAGAGCGAGAACACTGTCTCTGGAAGACAGATCACTTCTGTGGTGCGTGAATGTAACGTACTACACTCGTGTCTGAGAGAAGAGAAAAATCTTCGCTAAAGGCAAGACAAACGGCCCTAACTATCCAGACTTGAAGGAAAAAGGAACATTAAATAACTAACTTGGTCAGTAAGCTAAACATTATCAATAAAAAAATTATAAATAAAATGATAAGATCAAGAGCAGCATTCATGACCACACACAGCAGCTCAGTTTATGTGGTAAAATGAATGTGTTTCTATTTTACTTACAAGCTAAACAATTTTAGCTAATCAGGCTACTTTAACCCATTTTCACTGTGTAGCTGTTAGCTTTGAAATTAGTCCCTATCAGCTGCAACCAGGTGAGGAATTAGACTGCTGGTTACCGATAACACACTTTTTAACTTGTCTGTATTCTATATTCTCTGTAAGTGGACTGTATTCGGTCCTCATTAGAGTAGGATGACCAGGAGAGACAAATGATCAATACTGAACTAAGCAGAACTTGCCAGCTTTCAGTCTGTGATCCTCCAAAGGCTTAAATGTTGTCACTGCTCAATTCATTTTATGTGACAAAGCATTATTTTACGAATACGTTATGCCAAAATTATATTTGTATATATTATATTTTACTTAAAGTAATGGTTTAATTTTAAATGGATATATGTAGTGTTGATGTAGAAACAGGTCAGATTTGAATGTAGTTAAAGGTCTGATGACGAATCCAGGCCACCAACCTAGCTAATGGTCTCCACTCAGCATTTTCTGGAGAGTATATCTAAAATGTCCAAGTATCTTTTAATGTTTTTCGTGGTCATTCTGGACATAATTGAATACTATGAATTAGCTTCCATTACTTGCTAGCTACATAGCCTTATAGCTTCAGTGTTAAACTGAAAAAGCTAACTTTAGCTTTAACTGAGTGACCACATTTGGTTAAAGGGGAATTATGTAGAATTCCAAGCTTTAAGATGATCTTAAGGCTTTTGTGAATTCACGTTGGAACAGATCTTCCATGCTATGCTATTTCATGATCACAAGTGAGCACATCAGAATGGAGAGGCCAGACTGTAATTTCATGGAGAAGTGGTCATTAGATCATTGCTTTCTTAACCTGCGATCTGTTGTTGGTGCTTTTGCTTCATCAATCCATCAGCCAGTCAATACAGGTGACTTGAGTGATAAGAGAGTTGCAGAGCAGAGGAAAGAGGTGGAAAAAGCCTTCGGGGAGAGTTAGCATGTCATTATATGATAATATTAGCTCTATTATTAGCACTGCTCACACATGCTGGGGGGGCATGGGGAACAGGGAACAGATTGCTTGTGGCTGTCCATCTGTAGTCCACAGGCAAACAAGTTCATTCAGCAGCAAAGGATATGAATAATAATTGTTTCTTTCATGTTTTTTTTAGGCTAGGGCAGTCTATCTGAGAAGATGCAACCATTTAAAAGTCAACTCAATCTGATTCCAAGTGAGGGAATCGACAGTTGATTCCAAGAGTCAGTTTTTTACAGGTTATCTTCATGTGCTACCACCACAGTTGTTCTTCAGGGACACAAGATGCCAGTTTAATTATATGACCTTAGCAAGAGAGCTAATGCTAGCCAAGTTAACTTGTCTGTTGGGGGCTCACTAAACAGTACCTGATTTTTGTGTCAGCTTCAGGTGGTATAGGTGATTTAGCTCTGGCCAAGCTGACTCTAAGCCACTGTTTTCTTACAAATTTCACACTTTGTCCAAAGGAAAATAGACCCAGTCTAGTGATACGAGTGTTGTGGGAAGGATTTATTTTTCAGACTGGCCGTCTAGAGAGTGACGGCAGAATATGGCACTTATCATAAATGTGGTACAGTTTATGTCCCATTGCCTTTCTATCAGCGATAAAGTGACTGCTGTTGGTTTTTTTATTTCTGTGAAAAGTGAAGGGATCTGTACTTAAAATAAAATGATTAAATTAGCATTTAAATTATCATAAAAACAAATGTCTGTATTCACCTTTAATATGGTGATGTTGGGCTTCTCTATGAAATACATTCATTAAAATCTTCCAGTACAACTATCACTAAAATGTTATTTGGTTCATTTCTAAGCAATGAAATACTAAAATAATTATTTTTTAGTATATTCGTTTTAATAGTCATTTTAACCTGTCCCACATTTTATGCGCCACTCTGTTACCCAGACCTGTAAAAACCGAACATTCCAATTATTGTGAACATCTTGATTGACACTGATATGTCTATATATATTCATATATATAAATAGCTTGACCATTCAACCCTGTTACCAAAATTATTGTTAAGAAGAATATACATTTATATTTTTTTAATGTATGTAAATGATATTATTATTAGTAGTAGTTAATATGCAACATGCAAACCACTACTGAATGCTGCTTATTTTAGGCTAAATTTTTTAACCTTTAATTATTTTAAATGAAAATCAAATGGAAATGGCTTGAAACAAATAATTGAATGACTTCTGATCTGTGTTATATGCTATACTATACTTTATACTGTACTGCATTAATATCATCTCAATGGGAAATATGATCTCTGTGGTCAACCCTGTTACTCCCTGTTACCTAGGACTGAACCCTGTTATTCAGTAATTTTTAGTCTTAAACCATTTAATTTAGTAGGTCAATTTGTTAATAAGACACATTGGTTTAAATTACTAATAAAAAAATGGCACTATTTTTGAACTAGAACGAAAAAACTAAAGACTTTCAAGATATGAAATACAGAAAACACAAGAAAACTGTTTTTTTTTTTCATTTCTTTGAAAAGTTCTAAAGGCATTTAATAAACGTATGCATTTCACACAAAGCACCTCAACGATACAGAAAATCAGCTCTTTCTGCAAACTCCCAGCCCTAGTCAGCATGTGTTCCTCTTTTGTGCATTTGTGGGAAAAAACTGGACACAGCGGTTCACATAAAAGAACAGTATTTGATCAAAACACTACAATATTGTGACGTTTCCTGAGGAATGGTTTGGTGAAAAACCCAATTCATGTAATTTTCGCTTAGTTCAAATGTCAACCAGCCAAGACTTGTTTGGTGTCTTAAGTTAGGTTCTTTAGTTTTGCACTAAAGCTACGAGGCTTAGGTAGCTAACAAATAATGGAAGCTTATATCATCAAGGGATGTGCACAGGTACTCAAGTACTCAGTTAACTGTCGAGGTGCCAGTATTCAAGTACTGAATCACCAGAGAAAATTTACAGTTCAATTCAGAGAAACATGACAATTTTTTTCTCTTCATTGTGAGTATATTTGCTGAAACATGAGTGCCTGAATGTGAGCGCTTTGCCAAGTCCTCGCTATTAAAGACATGAATAAGACGGCAGAGATAGCATGGCTGTATCGCCAACTAGAC